CTTACCCGAAAACAATGGCCAAAAGTGGTCCTATGCATCGGCGAACTATTCCTAAAAATAGCAAACTTCAAAAATAATATAGGCAAGAGATATTTAACGAATCGACATACCTTTACGTCTGATCTTGGATATGGGTAATGGGATTTATTATATATATGGATTTGCGCTCAACTTTCAATTTACAAGATGAAAATTTTACCTTTAAAAGTTAAAATTATCATTCTCCTTTTAGTTTCATTTTATTTTGATTGTAAAAATAAACTGGCATGTCTGAAATGAAATGAGTGAGAGAGAATCGTATCCGAAACATGGGAAGATATCTGATTGATCGCCTACACGATTCAAATATCACGGAATCATTCTTCATTGTGATGCGACAATCACGTAATTAAAACAATAAGGATAGTATGGATGATTGAAGAAACAAATGTGATAGATGAATTCTTGGAAATTAGATTTGAATAATAATAATTCATTGAATAACCATTTAAAAATTTGCAAAGATATTATAATAGGTGTTAGATGATTATGCTCAATAGCTGGTCATTATCATAACAGGTCACAATATACAAATTTTCTAATAGCAGCTTCTGTCAATGACTTGATCTAAAGTTTGCGGAAAAATAAAAAGAACATAGTGGAGGTGGAAGCAACAAAGAATTTAGCAGTAACAAAGCTTATTTAAACGGCAATAAAAGTTAATTATTGTAATGAAATTATTTTGAAATTGATAAACCTGATGAATCGAATTGATTCACACCATTACGACACTCTTCGCTAGCTTCAAAATGATCGTCAATTGATGTGATCATAATCTGCAACAAATATCAAACTAATCCATTCATACCTTAAAGCATCTAATCATAATATCAATCTTATCAATTAATACATATATCAAAGAAAAAAAAATAAATTTTAGGAAAAAGAATTAAATTTTTCGAATTTTTATTTTCAGCTTAAAGATAAAAAGAATATATAGAATAAGAATTGAACAATTTTTAAATGGGTAAGTGAAATCAATGAGAGGATCGATATTTTTTATATAAAATTATGATTTAATAGCGCCAATGGCATAAATATAATATCATATAATAGCATACGATATTTTTTACATAAAATTATAAATTATAATAAATGTATAATAGCGCCAATAGTATAAATATAATATCATATAATAGCATACGATATTTTTCATATAAAATTATAAATTATAATAAATGTATAATAGCGCCAATAGCATAAATATAATATCATATAATAGCATACGATATTTTTCATATAAAATTATAAATTATAATAAATGTATAATAGCGCCAATAGCATAAATATAATATCATATAATAGCATACGATATTTTATTTTTTATATAAAATTATAAATTATAATAAATGTATAAATATAAAAGACAATATTATTCATTAATAATTTAACCAATTTTAGCAAATATGGCAGCAGTTCAAAATTTTTTAAAATATATGATATTGAAATATCTTAAGAGTAAAATAAGATGAAAATGAAGTCGATATTATAAAATATAGCTTCTTTTTTTTCAAGAGATAATCTATAAGAAGTGTTAAAATTGATAGACGAATGAATAGGGCTTAGTTCTTCTCTTACACTTTGCTCATTCATTTTTAAAAAACTGTATGCTTCAACATTTCAACAAAATAGCGATCCCAATTGATACATAAATATCACTGTTGTGATAGACTCTTCAGAAATGGTAATACTCTGTTCCATCTATTTTATAATGAAAAAACAGTCTTTTCATTTAAAAGAAATGTTGTAACTAACCGAACTGAATGATGAAAGTGTTATGGGCGATAAAGGCCGAGACGGCGAAATTTGATCCAAACAAAACTTTTCTCTTTCATCTGCTAATTCTACATCGATATTTTGCATTTTCTGCATTCCAGTCGGTATTTTTTTAGATTCCATACATTTATTACCTGGATAATTTTCATTTCATTTGAAAGAAAACTTTAGATTGCTTATGAAATGTTATCAAATAAGAATAATTATATAGGTAAGATTAATGCTAATTAATTATATGTCAACTTTAAAACTTCATCATGTTTAATCTCAAAATATTTTTTGTATAAATAAAATAAGTATAGGTATGTAGAGGTATATTCTAAATTATATTTCGATAATTAAAGATTTCACTAATCATTATTAGTGTAGAAAATGAAAAGAGTTATCAACAGTTTAACTTTCTAATTTGATAAGTAATCCTACTAATTTTACCATTCAATTTTAAAACTATCAGCGACAAATATATAATCATGAATTGCAACAAAATCTAATTTTTGATTAAAAGCAAGATAGATAACAATGTGTTAAGAAAAAATTGAAGTGATAAGATAACGTGTAATAGATTGGATGATGCATTATTCAGAAATACCTTTCTTTTTTTCATCTATTTTCTTCACTTCATTTTATGATTGATATAATTTGCTTTGTCATCACATTTTTCTGTTGATTTTCTCTTCTTTACAAATAATTATAGCTCTTTTTTATCACTTCTATCTTCTCTTTCCTTATCACTCTTATCTTCTCTTTCCTTATCATTTTTTTTCAAGCTGTGTTAAAATTTAAAATTTAATAATAATATATGTAATAATATTGAGAAAAATGGGAAATGATGAATATCATGAATAATGCAGCAAGCTACGATAATATCATGCTTATTATAATATATACTTTTATAGTTACGACGTTTGTTACATTATTACTTGTCATAGATTAAATAGAAATAATTTGATGAAAAATTTTGATTTAAATCTAGAATTTTATTCATTTTTTTCTGCAACTTTTCAATAACTTATCCTTTGCAAATTTAACATACATAATTTTAAATTGTTTTTGCAATCATAAGTTTAAAATTAATAATTAACTAATAAAATGTGCAATTAATTAATTAATTAATTAATTAATTATGAAAAAAGCGATAAGATACGATAAATGTCAAAAGATCATTAATGATATCATGTAATATTCAAAATGATACACAACACAAACAATCAATGATAATGTAAATTGTTATGATAGATAAATTAGCAAAAAACAGTCAAACCATCTTTTGAAATTAATAAAACTAGAATTTAGAGGTCAAAATTTAGAGTTACATATCGCCAATTGAACAGAATAGAAACTTAAAGAAAGGACGGAAAGAACTTGAAACTAAAAGTGCAACTTAAGTTGAAAGTTGAAAGTGCAACTTAAAAGTAAATAGATAAAAATTAACAATAACGAAAACTCTACATTCTATCTGGAAAACTGTCTTCTCTACTCATCTCTAGACCACTAAAAACAGCACGAAGACCATGAAATAAGCGCTTTTTGAAGTATCAAAAACAAGTTCCTGAAGCTATTTTTGATAATTTTATCCCCTTAATTATATATGAGCTAAAGAGAAGGATGAGTAGTTTGTATGGATAATTCCCGAATTTTCTGCATATGTTTGTGCTACAGGAAAACAGAAAATTATATCAAAAACTGTCTCTATCTCAAAAAATCAAACACAACACCGACGAACTATTTATCTCATACAACTATAATCTGAATAGAAATAGTATTGATATTGATAACTTTCAATGATCATCTAAAAAATGATAACTTTCAATGATCATCTAAAAAATCATTTAAAAAAATCAATGATCATCTAAAAAAGTCACTTATGTTAATAAAGATAATAGCACTAGTATAAGTTTGTATGACCATTCACATTATTATCATTAAAGATGATCATATTAATGAACAGTATCATCCATAGTACCATTACTGTCAGTAAAAACAATTCAACTGAATTTATTTGTGATATTAATACAAAGAGAAATGAAATAGAAACTAAGTGAAAATGTACGACAACAAGAAACATATTTGAAAGCTGCATCAAACGAAGCTACTAATAAAAGGTGTTCATAATTATCTTCTCTTGAAAAATATAAACAAAATTATGTTCATCTGATAAGTGAATAATGATAAGGTATTAACTGATAAAATTTCAATTTAACTCATTTCCCACTTTTATTATTTCTCATACTTTTATCCAAATTAAAATTCTAAAAAAACTTATTGCAGTTTTTTCAGATTTGTGTCATTTAATAAATAAGCTACTTAACACTAATCTCTATTGCTAATACAATAATGATTTTTATGAGAGAAAAAAAAGTAAACTGACCTTGATCGAATTCTGTCGACTTCATGCTCAGATCTGATTCCATACTGTATGCTGCCGGAAAAGTTATCAAAGATGATGTCCTGAATATGACTGACATAAATATAATAATTACATGTCGAGATATATTTAAAAGAGATATTATTACTTCTTTTCTGATAACAATAATAAATTATTACTTTGTATAGTAACCGTTTTTTCTCTCTTTTTCATATACATCAAAATTTCCAAAAAATATATTAGTATTCAAAATTTGATAATCAAACCAATTAAGATAAGAAGCTTGATAATATTCATAATTTGATGATATTCAATTCAGTTGGGCAGAGAGGAAGGATAAACTTTGATATTTTAAATTTGCAAGAAAATAGCGAATACTATCAAGAATAGTTTCATCAAAAGCAATAAATGAAAGTTAGAGTAAAAAGTAAAGGAAAGGAAAGGAAAGAAAAGGCACGAACTCTTCTGCACTATTCAAAATTTGATTTCGTTGCATTTCCATCTCATCAGTAGCATTTTCCTTTTGAGTATCAGTCTTCTGAAAAATGGGCTATATTCTGACAGCTCATTTCTCTCCTTAAATATTTGCATGCATTGAAATTTTTTTTTTGAAAAGAACATATGAGAGATAAAATTTGTTTGTCAAAAAATTTTTTCAATCTCCAACAAATATTTTTCCAAACTAAAGGAAAAGAAAAACGATAGTAAAAAAAGAGAAAAATTATCTAATTTGAATTTATTCGGAAAACTTGAGAATAATATGATTCCGGAAAATTGTAGCATAATATTATAATCGAAACTCACCACACTCATCTTATTATCAATTATCATCAATCGTTTTTCCGCATTTGCTTGTAACTGTTCACGCTCAGATTTGCCTACAAAATCAATTCATTATATATATATATCGTAGTAATTTAAATTATAATCAATACTTACTTTCATTTTTAAATTTTTTCTTTGATCGTTTTCGTAACTTCGGTTTACGTATCTCAGTTTGTTGTTGTTGTTCGGTATCAGATGAAGAATTTGATTCCACTCCTAATTTCCGTTGCCGTAAATGATGACGCAATGCTGTTAATTAGTCAAATTGAAATTAAATAATTTGGCAACATTTTAGAACTCTTAAAAGAGTTCTAAAATTATTCTAAATAATCACGGTAGATTGGCGTTAAAATACGGAACTTTAAGAAAATAAATAATCAAATTCTTGCAAATTAAATTTAGTGGGACACTTACTTCTCTCTTTGTTGGATAATAATCGACCATTCGATTCACGCTCGCAAATGTTTTCTGGTATCGGTGAACTACGAATAACCTGATCTAACACATGCGATTTGACATTTTCGCACACATTATTAGCGTTAGATGAGAATCGCAACGATCGTAACAACATATCTCTGTAATCAGTATAATTTATTAATAATCATTTTCATCAGGTAAATAAATTTGAGAAGAAAATAACTTACGCTGAAATAGAATTATATTTAGATAATTTTGCACTATTATATGCGCTTGATCTTGATCGAATTGGCGAATAACTTCTGAAAATAAATGTTCTGTTAAGGTAATCCTTAGAAATAACTCTTACTCTTCAACTAGCATATAAAGTAGATGCTAATAATTAAATTGTACAATGCAACAAAAATTTTATTTTTAAAATTACTTTAAGTAAAATGACCATTTGAAATAACAGAAAATAATAAAATTAAGAAATTTCACCTTGACATATATTCTGGAAATCGTCCTGATTTCGATTGAGTAGAATAAAAACCATGAGTGGGAGTGCGTCGCTTAACGGATATCATAGAATTAGCAAAAGATAACTTATCAGTGAATATTGGAGAATCACGTGCTGAGAACTGATTGTTCTGTTGACAAAAACTCTACGATTTTTGGAACAATATTATTAATAGCAACAATTATTGAAATTCTATTCCAAATTTTCAATAGAAATTATCTTATCGCTATTCCCTTTTTACTATTAATAATGCATAGTATGATAGATTACCGTAGTTTGTTCATCTATATAGTTTTTCAATGCAGTAAGTGAAGTTCGTAATTCATTGGCACTATTACTGATATAATTGCGTCCATTTGGTATACTATTAAGACGTGCACGTATTGTTGCAAGCGTTGAATTTACTGCACCACCAATTTCATCTCCATGAACACTACGTAAACGTGCTGAGTCAGCCATGCGACGACGCCATGGACGATCCGCTCTAATCACTGCATTTCCATGATTACTGCAACATTAAAAGATGATAACGAATGTGACATAACCTGTGGTACTATTCGAACTAGTAGCTATTCAGATCAATTAAATCTTAGATCAGAGCAATGCATGCATAAAATATGATTTACCTACTACTGATCGTTTGTGATGTATTATTTAAGAAAGGCCTGTTATGAAGTGATGTTGAAGCTGATGATGATGATAAAGCAGGAACTGTATTTCGTATTGATTGAAAGGATCGAGATGCAGAGGATGAAGTTGGTGTCCATCCTTAATTTCCCGCATACATTAGAAATGCAAAAACTTAGCACTCTCAAGAAATAAATTTAAAGATTTGTTGACTACGCTTTTATAAAGTTATGAATAAAACAGCTATTTTGATGATATTTAAAGAAAATGATAAAATATCGCAAATTTATGCTCCAATTACAATAAACTCTTATAGATGCTTAAAGATGATAATAGTATATTCAAAAACTGATTTACACGAATATCGTTCAAAATAATTTGGCAACGAATCGTAGAGAAGTTCAACAAAAGATCATAAAGAAAGAATTATGTCGCAACCGATAACTGAATAAAGATGATCATAAAGAACTCACTGCTATTAGCGGTGAAGTCATTTCTTCCTGAATTTCTTGCGACTTTATTGTATGTTATGTTTTTTCGATTTTTCACTGAAATATGATCTATTACTGTGTTGCTATTCCTTATCATAATTTTGCAACTTTACTAACCTTAGAAAACCTTAACTTTTAATAATACATATTTCCGAAAATTTCAAATCAGCCTAAAAAATAATGGATGGCATCTGTTAATTAGCACGGATCTAAACAACTCAACCGTAGGAAAACGAATAATATGAGCTGGAAAAATAAGTGATAGCAATGTAATCGGACTTGCAGTGCAACTAAAAGAAAAATGTTTTCAAACACAAACAGTTATCAGAGAGCCAAGAAAGTCGAGATGTTGTGCTTGATGTTTTATCATTCATCATTGATAATACAGAATCTCCAAAACATGAGGAACGTTCCCTTATATGCGGACCGGAGTTCCTATAATTTCTTTCTTTTATCATCAAATAACTTATTAGTTTATTAGGGTATATAAATTTATTAAAAGAAATGCATTCTAACTTACATTTACTTTTTGAAAATAATTTTTGATTTATATTTCTAAACATTTGTGTAAAAGAAAATGAATCTATTTTGCTTTCAATAATCATCAAATGAAGAATTGTTGAAATGTACTTTATGAAAAGCACTTAACTGTTTTCACATAATTTAAAATTAGCTGAAAGTGATAAGAAAGAGAGAGAGAGAAGTGGGCATAGATGTGTGAAAAGATATAACTATCAGATATCCATTGGATACATAAATAAACGCCGAAGAAAAACAAACAACAATTGCTTGAATTTAAAAATGAGAAAGATGAAATGTGTGCAGTGTAGATTGAACAATTATTTCAGGTCACTCTTTTAGAATGGTATACATGTAGTATAGATCAATGAAGAAGAAAAATAGTATGATGATAAGAAATTACATTTTTAACCATATCATACAATCGATTGATAACTTTTTTAAGGATATTTCACATATCGTAAAAAATTTTCAACATTCTAAAAATATCAATCTATACTCGTACAGAATTCTGCAAAGGGTATGATTCAAAGGAATTGTAAAAAAAATGTTTTTAAGAGAACGAACTTCAATTCGATGTTATTTTTGCTAGCAGATTGTGAGACAAAACATTCTAATGGAGGAACCGAATAAGACGATTTGGTACGATAATCCTTTGAGATTGATTCAAAAAATGGCATTGTTCGACTCCAACATCCTCTACCATTTTCTAATGGTTTATTCCAACGCACCGAATTCCAACTACAAATATCTTTTATTCAAATATCCTATTATTAGTATGAGTGAAGTTGTGTTAGCAAAAAAAGACGATACGATTGTTTTTCATTAAAAATTGCTATCAGGTATATTTTTTATTTGATCATTTTTTTTCCACAAATAAATTATTACATAATCATATCATTAATGATAACTTTACTATTATCATTTGAATAGCCTTTTTTTTTTAGTTAATAATCATATCATTAATGATAACTTTACTATTATCATTTGAATAGGCTTTTTTTAAAGTGCCATTTGAATTTTTCCTATCAGAATGACATATGAGAGATATTTAAAACGAGAAATGCTTTAAAACATTAATGTATGGTTTCATACAAGCGGATTTTCTAATAATATCAGTTTACAACCTGGAAAACATTTGCATTAATATATGATTTCATATAAGTGGATTTTCAAATAATATCAATTTACAACCTGGTACCATAAGTATGTGGTGCGATAGTTTGTGTGATATTTTCGCTGCGCTGAACTGTTCTCGAGCTACCACTATCATTACCAACATTAGCCCATCGTCTATGATACATTCCCGATGACATGGCCATTTAATTTCCTGATGATAACAATAATTTTTCAAAAATGAATAGATTAAAGATTTTTGTTGAAAATTGAAGACATAAAAATTATAAACCAAATATATGGCAATATTCGTTTCATTTCATTATTCAGTTGAACATTAAAAGGTAATAAATGATTTAATTTGGCAAACATCAGAAATAACATACCGACTCACACTGAACTCCGGTCTACACTACAATCTGAAAGTAATTTAGTTATGAGAATAAAATTATTTTATTTAAAAAGACATCATTAGAGCTAATAACAAATCATTAGAGCTAATAACAATAATGCAACAATTAATTTATAAACGAAACAAACATCGTAATGTAATGAGAAATATCAGCGATCCAAATATTGAATTTAAATTAGTTTAAAATATATGTTTGTTACTGAAAACAATAAATAGCATCTAATAAATCTTACGTAAATAACATATTCTAATAGCATCTAAAGAATAATTCATAATAAAAATTTTCCGGAAAATTATTACGGATTTTTTTTGGTCTAATTTATTTTCTTTTCTTATTTATGAATCATTCATATTTTTCGTCATTGATCTCTCTCTCTCTCTCTCTCTCTCTCTCTCTCATACACATAATATTGAGAAACAGTGTAAAATTTTGCTTTTCTTCCTCTCTTGTTAATTGTATTCTCTTTGCATATCTTTGATAAGCTTATTAAAATGGTTGAAAATAATTTAAGAAATTATGAAAATATAAAGTGATAGAATTGTACTGAGAAAAAAACAAAAAAGTAGAGTTGGAAAAAGATCATTAAAAAATTTTATAAAAACAATACGCATTTTTAAAGTATCACAGACATTAATAGGATTTTAATGAAAGTTACAAATAAATAAATAAATTTGATAATTTTCATCAAATTGATTATATATTTCGGCTTCTTTTATGTTTAAGAACAGAGTTAAATTATTTATGAATTATTAATTATCTTTTCTTTCTTAAAATTTGCAAACAAACACTTTATTCTGTATTTTACAAAATTTTTAAATTTATGGTACCTTCGGTGAAGAATAAAATTAAAGTATGATAAAGATATGACAGTTTTTAAGATTTTTAAGTATCAACAATTTACTGAGGAAAATTCCCAGTTACTGAGGAAAATTCCTAGCTATCAAAATTTCCAGCTACTGAGAAAAATTCCCAGTTACTGAGGAAAATTCGCAGCTACTGAGGAAAATTTCCCAACTATCTACCATAAAACTTATTAGTTGACAAAATTATACTAATTATTCCAAAAAAATAATTGATGCTTTTTTTAAAGATTTTTATACAAATTTCTTTTTTTGAGAATTTAACTTACATTCTCATTTCCTTATGTACCGTGCCGTATCGTCTTCCTTTTCAATGTTTTGATCACAATTTTATTGTTCAAAAAAATTCAGAAGTTAGGTTATAAATAGGATAGAAGATACTGTCGATGATAAAGCAATCTTTAGATAGTACTTCTTGGTATTATTGTGATGATACGAGAAATCTCTACGATACTTTTGCTTCTAAGATAGAACAAAAAACAAAAAGCGAAACAAATAATAATAGATCACCTGGAACAAAAGTGAGAAAACAATTTATGTTGAGAAAATAAGCATTTTAAAGTTTTAGCTTTAGAGATCAATTGCACATTTTAGACTGATTGCAAAGAAGAAATAGCTATTCAGATTCTTTCGAATGATGAAAAGCTTCTCCTTATCTCATTCATTCAATTTCCATGTCTTCTCCCTGTTCAATTACAAGCGTTAAACAGACTTTGTAATATTCAAAGAAAATCTCGTCCACACTTCAAAATGTCATATGCTTATAATTAATCACATACTATAAAGTGTGATTCGAAAATTTTCAAATACTATCAAAGTCAAAAAGTTTTGTAATCAATTCATTAGGCTGATAACAAAATCAAAAAGATGATCAATGTCAAAAAAAAAATGCAAAATAGTTCGAAGGCATGGAGCTATCAAAAAATAATAATGTTGCTTTGTAAAGAGAATGTATTATATATGGATGGATACAACGATCGACCCCATCCATCCGTCTAGTAGATGGGTGAAACAATTCTATTTCAATCTCTTTGCAAAACTCTTTTTTCCTTTTCTTCTTTTTTCCGAACTTTCGTTTACAGCTATATTTGTTGCAAATTTACTTAACACTGAAGATATACTATATTAAATGACCAGTAACTCCTGATGATAATAATATTCTAATTTAAATAACCTTATATTCAAGTTTCCGTTTGTCAGATGAATTCCAATGGTGTAAATATCCCTTCATATTTTTACGGAAATGATGAAACTATTGATTTATTCTATAGGATGTCGGTGATAATAATGATTAGTGATGATCAGAGAGAAGTATTTCCTATAGTTTGTGGAATATAAAGTACCATAATGATAATATCATTTCATACATTCGAGGAAATACCTTAATGAAAAAACCTAAATAACTTCAATTAATTAAACCAAATATAAAGAAGCATAATATGTAGAAGCATTTATACATAAATGATTTTTATGCAATTTTCGTGGCCAAAAAAAAATAAATAATAAGGTAAATTTGTTTATCAATAATTCTTGAAAAAGAAGGCAACGTAGTTTGGATTTGGAACAGTTGTCAACAAATTGTTTGCTTGAACTTAACTCCTCTTCTATTCCCAGACTCTAAATATCTTTTTTGCACTCTCTCTCTCTCTTCTTCTTCACTTTTCTCCCTTCATTTATTCATCTTTTCGATTACAACATATTTCCAGTATTACTAGTATTAGTTCCTCTTTTTTTGTTTTTAAAGAAATATCTGCTTAATGAAAGATAATGATAAAAAGGATTAATAAATGATGTGAGAATATATCATCTATAGATCAGATCAACAATGTAGTACATTAATTGATAGTTCTCACAATTTGCGCTTTACTAATAACTTCCGACTAAAGGATGATACATTACTGATCGTTGACAATTGTATCAGTATCATTTCATTGGTGGAGAAAGAAAGCGAGGACAAATAAGAAAAATTATTTCATGTACCGATAACATATCCAATTTAATTACTCAAAATACTTTTTAATTAAAAATTTTTTTTTCAATACTTTTTAATTTTAATTAAAAAAACAGGTGGAAAAATAAAATGGAATATCAATAATCGTCTTATCCTACTGATAGTTCAACTATTGATATACCAAATGATCTTGCGCTTTTTTTTCCATCGTAAAAATATGTGAAAGGCGATGCGCAGTTGTTCCAAAAAGCAAAACTTTGAAGATAGATATTGTGGAAAAATTGAATGTGATTATATGTGATGAAGAATAAATTTCAACATCCGCTCGTTGCATTCTTCAACGAGGAAAATAAAATTTTTAAAAAATAATATTAATCATTGCTGTGAAGAAAAATGAAATAGTCTAAAAAAACCACTAATGCATACACATAAATCAAAATTAAATATTATTTCCAAATTATTGCTGAACTATAAGGATGTCTTAATTGCCTTTGAAATGACCTTGAGAAATGGTACCTTTACAATTTCAACTTCAAAATCTCATTCTTTAAAAATTACCTATGGTTACCAACCTTTTGAAAAGATACTATGATATTTGTTCATTACATAGCGATGATCAGTAAATACTCGTTATACTTCAAAAGTTATTTGTGATGGTTAGTTGATGCAACATTGTGCCGTTCGTTATCGATAGAGCAATTCTTTGAAAATGAATACTCTTTAATTTTAGCTTTTTCTTCCTTAGTTTGAAGTTAAATTGTTATTCTCTCTGTTATTGTGAAATCCACGTTCTGCATTGCTCTTTCATATCTATGTATCAGTCTATAATTTGGGAATTTTCCTTGTGATTCTCAGCTCATAGTTTTACTTGTTATTAATTAAAAAGTCTGTATGAACGGGTGAAATCTATAATTATTTCGATTGCAATTCACCAAACTTTTCATTTATTGGCAATAATGCTGCAATATTCTGCTGCTATCAATTCAAATGCTTCAATGAAGATTTCTTTCAAACGGTGTATCAATTTTTTTTCTTTAGCACGTGGTAGTTTGATGTGCTTTGTGTTAGATAAAAATCGGTTTAGGGTTGTCTAGATTTTCTCTGTGGTCTGTTTGGTTTATAGTTTCCGGTAAAGAAGTTGAGAGTTATGGAAGGGAATATGCGTGGTAGAAAGGGAGGATCGAATTGGGCAAAATATGCATTAATCTTTCTGAGGAACTACCCGCAATGTTTTTCTTTTACCGATCAGGTACTCGCATATATTTTTATTGCCCATTCAATTACCCACATACCCTGTTGCTAATTGAAAGCTTGTATTTCGCGCACAACTTCTATAATGTTTCCTCTTCATAGAAATGCCCTAATGCTACGTGGATCGTACTATATGTCTCTCGTGATTTGTTTTTGTTCCAATCATCAGGTTGTTTAACTGAGTAATTGTTTGATTAATCTATTTAGGTCACATAATTCTAACTTTGTATTATCCTTTAGTTCGAGGAGAGCTGTTTGTGTATTACAGAGTACATCTTTTTATCTTAGGATCTCAAAAATTAGTATCTATGGAGACGGATCAAAAAGCAGTCGGTGACCAGAGGAACGAAAAATTAATTACTAGTAATAATAAAACTACAGCAAATGACAATGGAGAGAGCGAAAAAAACAATGATGTCCATGCAAGTATACGTTCTGGAAATAATACGGACGTAAAAAAAATGTTAGCCGACGACGACTGTAACACGAACATTCAGCAGAAGATTACTGAACAGGTCGAAGTAAGCGAACTTCCGATTTCAAATTTTTCATTCCTAAGTTTTTGACAACAAAGCACATATTTTGTCGCCATATTGTCAAAATCATTAATTAAGCGGAGTTATCAGTTAAGTAAAGGAGATAATTGTCGAGTGTGTATATAAAATTAAAAATTTTGTAACATAAAGTGGTAGTCGCTCTCTTCCACTCCACCATTATCTCTATTTTCAGTATTATTTTGGCGATATTAACTTACCTCGGGATCGATTCCTGCAGGAAGAAATCAAGAAAGATGACGGGTGTGAGTAATTTTCAGACCTTCAGAAAAAGCAAACAAACCGACATGTTTCTTAAATTTGGCGACTATTAGGATTCAATATTCTTTTTTAATTCAGAACTGATAATAGCCAGTGTTGCGTTGGAAAATATTAGAAATGAAGTGAATTTTTTGTATAGATACTGTTTAAACATCGTTTCACTTTAAACACCAATTGCTTTTTTTTGCATTTAGGGGTCCAACTCACGACGATGTTAAAATTTAAACGCTTGGCACAAATCTCTTCCGACCCCGCAGTAATCGGGGAGTCTTTGAAGCATTCGAAGCTGATGCAAGTATCTGAAGATGGTAGCAAAATTCGACGTAATCCTGAAGTACCATTACCAGAAAATTCGCTTGAATATTGGCAAGTTGTGAAACGGCGTACTGTATATATTGTGAGTTTTGCATCTCTAGTAAGCAACTATGATTACAGCGGGATATGTTGTATTTCTTTCAGAGAACCTTTAAATTACGAAAGGGTCAGTGGAGCTTATGTCCTGTAGATTGGGACGGAAAAAATTCCGTTTGAATTAAATGAGTTTTTATCATGAGATGACAATCATTTTTATCTTGCCGCATTTGATTTTGTTGTTTGGACGAAACAAAACACGAACGCATTACCTTCTTTAGAAAGGCTTCGAACGAGACACGAAATTGGATGATATTTTAAATTTCGTTAAGCAGTTTGGTAGTGTTGAAAATGTAATGATGCGTCGTGAGAAGTCAGAAAAGCGAGCTTTCAAGGGCTCCGTTTTCGTCACCTACAAAGATCAAGAGAAAGCAGAAGCTTTCGTCAACAGTGACACGAAACAGTTCAATGGCAACGATCTTTTGAAAATGATGCAGTAAGATCTTTGCTTTCTAGAATTTCCTGCATAGTCTCGCAAATATGTTCAACTTCTTTACTATATTAATAAAAGCTTTCAAAGTTTGAAAAGATATGTGAAAAAGCGCTAAGATGCTGCTTCAGATTTATATATTTAATTGAATTGGAAGAATTGGAAGAGGTATTATATGTCCTTTTCGTTCTATCTCACATATCTTAATAATATTTTCCATATTAATGGAGTGATGTTTTAGAAACGATTACTGGGCAAATAAACAAAAAGAGTTGAAGGAGAAACGACTTGCTGCTCGCGCTGCTAAGCAAGCTAAAAAGGTTTCCTGCATAGTCTCGCAAATATTTTCAACTTCTTTACTAATAAAAGCGTGTATTAATAAAAGTATTAATAAATATTAATAGTAAATTAATAAAACTTGTATTAATAAAAGCTTTCAAGGTTTAAGAAGATATGTGAGGAATTCTGTTTTCTATTTTCTTGAGCATTCTCGACTCCACCAATTCCCTTGCATATAAATCATTTTGGCCAAAATTTTTGTCTCCTTAATCTTTTATTTCTAGAAGGCTGCCGAAGCAGAGTCAAAAAAAAAGAACCTGGAAATAGTACATTTTGTCAAAGGATTAGTGCTATCAGTGGAAAATATTCCAAAGGAGGACTGTGATCTCGCGAAAGTTAAGGATTTTTTCAAACAGTTCGGTGATGTTCAATATGTTGTATACGAAAAGGGCGATGAAAAGGTAAGCTATCTAACTTTTACATTTACTTAGCATGGTTAGGATATGTGTTCTATTGAAACCAATTCAGTTATTTATAATGGGCAGTTTTCTTTAATTCTGATAATTTTTGAGGCCCAGATTCGTTTTGGTGGTGAAGAAAATGGTGCTGCTGTTGCTTGGAAAGTGGCAGCAGAAAAAGGAGATGGAAAAGTAATGTTCGATGGCAATGAGCTCAAGGGGACAGTACTTGAAGGCGAAGAAGAAGAGGAATACTGGAATAATTTCATTAAAAAGAAAGCTGATAAGCAGGCGCGGATAGCCAAAAATCGACGGGGAACTAAGGTTCGAGGCCGTGGTCGAGGGCGAAATGGTGCACGGAATGGTGTGACACGAGGCGAAAAGGTAAATTAGACACAACCGCGTATCTTTTCTACCACAGAATTAAGTGCAGGATTTGATGAGTTGTTAATATAGTTGAGATCCTTTCCTACTTTTGCGCAAAGATACAGGTTTATTTCAAGTTGTATAACAAATAAACTTACTGTAATTGTCGCTAGTTTTTTTACAGAGGTCAGCTGAGGAAATGACTGAAAATACGCCTGAGAAGAAACTGAAAAAAGGAATATTTGAAAACGAAGAGCCGAAGAAAGCTACCAAAATAGTATATGCAGATTCGGACTAGCTATCCTCTATCGTACTTATTGCTGCTCCATTAATATTTTCGTTATCTTGATCCTTGTTTTCTTTATTAAATTTGTTCCTTGTTAATGTTAATCATTTATAATGAAAAATGAGAACCTACTTGTATCACTTATGAAGCAATGGGTTGCAATATTTAGCCCAACTACCTCCATATATTTTCACACATTTTCCGCGACTTTGTGTCACCATACTGGCGAACCTGAATGTTGCGTCTTGAAGACGCTCTATGTAATCCAAAACTAGGTACTACTGCTGTTTGAAAGAGTTAACCCATGTAATCTGTCATCCTAAAAATTTTGGTTTAAGCTCTCAAAGTTTTATACTATACTAAAAGACCAACAGCAAAACAACGGAAACTTTTTTTCTAAATTATTTGTCGATATAGTATAGCAATTTAAGTGGAGCTGTTTAATTACGCGCTATTGTCAAACGGTATATTAAATGCCATAGCTAACTTGAAATTATTGAGGATCATCGTCTAAGTGGTAGTGACGACAAAAATTTTAACTTGGATTAGGTGTTTCAAATGTAAACGCCATCCTGAAATTGATTGCGTCACACAACCTTTGATCTTTCGGAGCAGTTTGTAAAACGTTGCCCTCTAGGGACATTTAAGAAGACTTAAAAGTGTCGAGAGAAGACAGCACCGCGATTCCCTCGTTTTGTGAATAGTTGGAAGGCAGCTTTGCTTTTCTATGCTACCTAACTCCGCAATTCTAGCATCATCCGCTCACTAGATTTGAATTTGAAGTTGACTAAATAAACATAATATTGCTAAAAACTGATTAAATAAACATAACATCAAGCATTACCACATATATGTAAGCTTTAGTGTCATTCAATAACAAATCAACATATTAAAGGTTAGAACACGGAAATGAAAGCCACTAAAATAAGAAGGAAAACCGGAAATTACTTCAATTCGCTAACATGTCCAACGAACAAAAAAAGCCGAATCATTTAACTTTTTTAAGGGCTGTAATCCGTTCTAATACCGATGGGTGTGAATGATTGAACATCGAGTACAACGGGTCGTTTACCGGCAAAACCAAGTTATCCTTGCCAAGTTTGATTAGTGCGCTACCCAACTCGTGTCCATAACCAAGTTTTTCTGAGAAACGATCAGCCGCAAATTCCAATCGTCTCGACATTATCTACAAATGCTGAATTGAATATTAAAAGATCTGGCTCCACTTTAAATGAGTACTAGAAACCAGTTCCCAGAAAAAGAGGACAAGTCAAATTGCAATATTCGCGGTTAATTGGTTTAATAAAGTTATAGAAACAATTTTCAAACAACCGTCGAAAGAAACGAGAACAATTCATTGTATGGAGCGGTGATATACTGGAAAACGATCATGAATCCAATAATCGTTGGTTTCGAGTCATAGAAACCAAATGCGTGGAAAAGTGAAGTGGCGCGGTAGAACTTTGCAAATATGGCAAGTAGCAGCAACAAATTTATCTAAACATTATAAGGTGAGATTCCTATAGTCCATTATTTAAGAAAATGCACACGTTGATTCATATATTTAAAAAATTCAAATACCCAGAAACACAGAAAATTTTTTTTTCTAAATATCTTCCCTACTAAATCGATTCTTAATAAGTAAAAAGTTTGCTCCAGATCCAATAAAAATTACCTCAATAAGAAAGAGCTGGATAGTTGTATGCCATTGAGCCCAATGTCCAAGTTCATGGCCAAGGACGGCCACAACTTCATTGTCTTGCATACCTAATTTGTGCTCCTTTATTCCTTCGTCGTCCTTCTCATCTGAGCTTTTTTCCTCATTTTTCTAAAAATATTAAAAAATATATAAAAATATATCTATAACAACGAAAATAATTTACTGCCTTGCAAACGTGAGTAATTAGACTCAAAAGTAACAGCATAAATTTTGAGATATCAGTTCATACACTGATTAAGTCTCTTGAACATTAAAATAGATCAATAATGATATAATTACGTAATTAATACCTAGTTAGATATAACTACGAAGTATAGATAAATATGATAAATATGACTACTGACTATCTCTTTTAGTTTTGCTCTCATTTCTTCAGCAAATAACGTGTCGTACAACACAATACGTTTATTATTCCAGAAACCATACAAATAGGCGTTGCTGTGTGCTGATCGTTTTGAACCTGAAATATAGAGATTTTGAAATAAAGTTGCGTAGTTCGCACAATACTGTCCAATAGATTTCTACCGTTTGAGATCCTTGCTTTTATAAGAAATTTAAAGAAAAGGAAATAAAGGGTCTCAATATCCTCCACAACTTTACCATAGACAACGAGTAGTTTCTTCAATGGAAAATTTAGACTTTCAGCAAGTTTCTCGATTTTTTGTTTCAGTTCGCTTTCAGGAAGTGGAACATATTTGTCGAATAATGGAGCTATGAATTCGGGATAAACCGTCATCAACAGCTGAAATTTTCAAACATCAAAATTCCGCTTAGAAGAAATAATCATATCTTCAACTCTTTCTTAGAAAAAAACTTACAAAAATAACAAGTGAGAGAAAGATCCAAATATAAAAGAAGAAATACGGTCCTCCACGTTCCACAATATACACAACTGCAGATACTATTGGTGCCATCATGAATAGTGATACTATCGTCTTTTTAGTTTTATCTTTCAGGAAAAAACCCAGCGTCTGCAAATTTCCTATTGGCATTGAAATCTTTGATTTGGAAATAGAGTTAAACATATATTCACTTAATAACAAGCAAAAATAACATTTTTGTTCAGCAACTCCGAACCACAATTTAAAATTCATTCTTACTATTTGTATGAACGGTCACTCCTATTTGCTCTTTCTATTTAAAATACGAATGTATGTATTACAATCTGATCATATTACCTTTAAGGAAAAAAAATATACCACCTTAACTCCTGAAACTCAATACTGTATATTGAAAATTTTGATTATATAAAAATGACCTGCTTATTGAACCCGTGTTTCTCCTCGATTACGAATGTATCGTAAAGCTGCCATGGCATACTTGTTAGACATTCAATAACTGATACTAATGATATGAAGGTTATTGTCTGAGCAATCTGGAAAGCTAATTTTTGTTCTTTAAATTTACACAAAAATTGATGCACTGCTAATAAATTCAACTATTATTTGGGAAATATACGTAATTTGAGTCATCGAATAAAGTAGGCACATTCCACCATTTCATTTCTTCCTTCTTCATAAAGTGAAAAATGAGGACTTATTGCAATATGTGTCAAAAACTTCGATCGTAAACCTTACTTCGCTCGTAAACCCAAATCTGAGATTGAAAGCTCCACTTTTGTTCCATAAAATCTGAGGTAAGCAGAACATTAGGATAGCCTGCAATTCCAAAACTTGAATGCAACAAAAAGCACCTCAAAGACTCAAGTTAAGCATTTTATTCGTATTGAATACAAGTTTTAAATCAAAGATACTTGAAAATGAAAGTATAACCTACCATTAACTCTAACTGCAAGTATATAGAGTACACGAAAGAGTAGCGATGCTTATCAAGTCTGTATATCCGAGCTTTTCGATATTCTTCTTCGCTCATAATTTCGCTTACTTCATCTGGTCGTTTCACTGTATCACGATGAACACGATACTGTAAATTTGTTATTGTGCAAATCAATCATGCAACATCACCCATTGCAACACTCGAGTATGGATAGTGTTACCAGGGTAACTTGTTGTCCATTAGGTACAATTTTGGCCACAGTGCAAAGCAAAGGACTTATTTTATTGCGCATTCATCAACCCTTGCAGCAATTGCGTTGCACCATTATTTCTTGCTTGACAAGCAGCAGATGGTATAAAATCTGCTCTATCTACACCATGCAAATGCAAAACTACGCAGAGTACTGGTTTAATTTTAAATTTTTTCAGAAACACTAGGATGAGTGATATCACTAAAGTTGAAAAGCGGAATTTTGCACATTAATCAAAAAAAAAATACACTTTGCAAATCCATCACACGTTTGAGCTAATAATTTAGTAATCATATAATAATACTGAACTCTCACCTGCCGCACAGAAAGATAAAAATCCCATAGGAATATTGACCATGTGATAAATATAATCAACCAAAACATCAGGAACTTCGTTATAGCACCAAACAACAGAACATCTAAATACTTCTACAAGCCCAATTAAAAACTGTGATATTTCTTATGAAGACAGTAACTCTTTATAAATACTGCTAATCAAAGTGGCAAAATCAGTTATATCCAAGCCAAATAGATCAAACGCCTCTTCCATTTCCATGAAAGTGTTTGGTATTCGTCATACTTGAATCAATATAGCTTCAAACCTACCAATAAAAAAACGAACTAAATTAAAACAAAAAAGAACTAATGGGATCTCAAATCCCCTGAAAAACTAACATTAAGTATAAATGACTTTAGCTAAGCTGCACTTGTTCACTCAACATAAATGGATAAGCATCAAATGCTTCAAGTGAGACGTATAGCTATAATATTTGCGGATCACAGAACGAGAAAAGTGAGGAACAGTGAGCCATTCTAATTTTATTCATATCACAAATAAATAATCAATCGAGGGAAAATGAGAAAGGAAATCATGGGGAGTAAACTGCAAAACATTTCGTAATCTTTCGTGAGTGCTGTGCATTTTTACGCTTAAAACATTGTAAGTATTAACTTCAGTCAGATTTCTGAATAGTTGAGTTTCTAGGAAACAATAATAACACTAACGATCTTTGAAGTAATAAAATTAGGAATAATTAATTAAACGATGTCGAAACTTCAATTAACCGAAACCTGAATGCAACTTGTATTCCCTACTTTCTACTAACGTCCTCTGTATAAATTGAATAGGGAATACATTTTATAGCAAACACAGAAATGATAATTAAAATACAATGCAAACCGTGAATCAAAGTGATATCTACAACAGAATCAAATCACACGATTTAAAGCAGTGAAAATTTCATCATAGGGTCATCCTAAATTAATAGATTCAGCATACAGGATCACAGTGTTTGCAATGAAATAACTGATTAATGATGAAACCACACGTGCGACATGCTCTGTTGAAGTGAAGCCATCCAAATCTTAATAAATCGGGCCAAAATAGTTATAAATATAAATATAAAAAGTTATTTTGCCCGGCATATATTTGTTTATATACATACTCTTTGTTCTAAAAATGTACTGAGTCCACAGCAAATAAGTATTGGGCCTACTTTCCCGAAATAAATTAGCTGATATACATATGAAAGCAATAATTCTGAAAGATAAATTGGAGAAATTCCACAGAAAAATGAGAGGTTTCTTAAAATATGGAGTAAAATTCCATTACACATGATATATTAAAAGAACCCTATCAAATAACATCAAGAGAGTAAACACGAAAAGTGATAATAAATCAGAAGAGAAAAAAAAATAGTAAGCAATGAAAGAACGAACTGCAGTAAATAGAAAAGTCAATAATAGATGGCACTGAACAAGTGCAAAATTAATACGATTTCGGTACTACAACTAAGTCAGTTATTTTAACCATATGTCAATTATCCATCTGCCTGAGGAGGTGTGAACCACCCAGATTTTGCATGAGTCTGCACAAGTAATGAAAATGCATGTTGTGCTCGAGCCAAAGTATACTGTCCTTTAACTGAGAAATTGATGCGTGCCTGTAAATCAAGCAATTAGGACAATTCATAGAATGAAAAAAAAACAGGTTTTTTAATCCATATCACTTTTTCTACAAAACAATTCTAACAGCTTTTCAAATTCACTGTAACAAAATAGTGCATAGGCTCACTCCTTTTTTGATATACAATGTCTAAAAGATACTGAAACAGCGGTAGATGTTTCATTTCTATCAAAAAAAAGAGTGAGGAAACAGACCTTTCCTTTCACTAAAGTAGCGGCAATTTGCAAGATCAAGGATTCGATGCTATATGCACTTGACCATCCTTGCCTTGTTAACAGTTCCATGCAAATAGCGCCACCTCCCAAAACAAATCCATTCGTAATTGTTGGGGAAACTAAGCGTACGAATGGCGGTTCGAAACTGAAACACGATGTAAATCAGCTTGACATTTTCGTGGATTTCAAAGGAATATCGCTCTCAGTTTTCACAAGCTATGTTCTATAATTAGATAATGAAATATTTAATAACCACAGACAATCGATTCCAAAATATAATAAAACTTATTACGCAAATATGTTATTATCTTCATATTTATAAATAAAGTCAGATAACGAACGGAAATGTATCCTTGAACAAGAAATGAAACAAAAGGTAATCCTGCGATTCTTTCCTTATCATCATTTTCATATCGTGAGCTAGACTGCTGTCAGGATCCACCCTTCAATGAAGAATATTTCGCTGGAGAGAAACAATCAACAAAACTAACAAAGAAGTTATGAACAATGAAAAATCATGGAGTAAACAGCAAACGGAACTCACTTTTTTAACTTCACATGCCATTCATAAAGGCTATCCATTACCAGCTCTACCGAATATACACCTATAATGAAAATAACAAATCCAAATATTTGTAAAATCGCATATGTAAAAAAAATATGTCAAAAATTTACCATTCTTGAAATGATCCGAGCGGTATATATCTTTCAGTTCCTTCATCAGTCTATCGGTAGCCGTCACAGAACCGGCTGCAGCACCCGTCAAATGCTGCTCACGCTGTACATGGTTAAGCCTCGCAAATACTGCTTTTTGTTCTGCTGACAAATCCTGGAATTACATAAAAACGTATAAATATTCAGAGATTGATGCAGTGCAATGATGCCGATTCAGATCATAAGTTGTGAATAGGAAAAGAAAATATAAGAAAGGTACTTCATCATCTCCTGCATCTTTGCGGGATGTTGTTTCCTCCTCCATTAAAATATAGTCATCGTCACTCTCCATTCCCTCATCCCTTTCATCTCCAACCTATAAAGAATCCAAAAAAAATCACATCTGAAAAATTAGGTTAGCCAAATACTTGGAACTACTCTCAACATGTTAAAAATGCTTTCTTATTTTTTCGCACATTATTTCTACTTTCTGAGAAAACGGATCATACCAAAGATAACTGAACAATACTACCGTTTGACAGAAGAATTTTTGGCAATAACGGCAGCAATTTAACTATCGTTTAATATTAGGCAATTATCTCCCACATACATACGGGACTGGTACATGAAATCCTGTGCTTCCAGAACTTTTAGAAATGATAAAAGAGATTGAACGTAAAAACTTACGGGGCCAATAGAGATCAATTCAGTGGGTATTGTAACATTATAATAGGAACACAAGCGTGAGACAAGCTCATGCGTTTGTGGTAAAATGTAGCATGGTGCTTCCGCTTCAGTTAGTGATTGCAAAATAGCTGTAACTGTTGAGTCATCACACTCACTAAACCAGATAGGTGCAACATGCGGATAATTTTCCTGCAATAATGTTCTCAGATAGCGAATTTATATTGGATTGAATTTCATAAAAGTCATAGAATTTACAGTTACACGGATATATGATACCACCTGGAAAAACCTTTTCATTTGACATACCTTAATATACAAGCGCAATTTTCACGATAACTCACTTTATGCAATCTTTTAAAGAAAAATGCATAGCTTACTAGAACATTAGCAGTAACGACAATTGGTTTGTTTTGGGGATTAATGAATTGGACGGTAATCTCATCAACAGATGCTGATAGCACCTGAAATAAAATCGTGAAAAATTTTCCGCGCAAGCTGACATTTTTTATATTCTCTTTCAATGCTGATTTCTTACAAACCTGAAAACGTTCGTGTTCTTTTGGAAACAGAGACTCTAACGTTGCAACATCTTGTCTCAGTTTTTGAAGGCATGCCATTGTATAGCAGGAATAAACCGCCACTAAACCAATACTAAATTCCGATTGTTTCGACTCTCTAATAAATTATTTATTCTGCAAACATGAAACGCTGCAAAGTAATAGCACATAATTACAGCATGCAACCGAACAGTACAGCAATTGTTATGTCAATAAAGCAGTCGAAACAATAGCAAAGGTAAACTGAATAAATTGAGGCAATCCATATACGCTAATCGATCTACAGTATCTGGAATCAGTCTAGCCACTCTACACTCTTCTTTCCATTATTCCTATTATCTCTTAACCCATACTGTACAAGTAAATTGTTAATGTAGTTATTCCGTCAATTTCTCATTTACATTTGAAATGCAGAATGAGCTCAGCTTTTTGGGGCTTGACAATATGTCTGGAGGAGATCGAACTTTTGATCAACTTGCCTTGCACGAGAAAAATGTACCCGAAAGACCCTTTCCCGAGCTTCGCCGTAGTAAATAAAGTTACATTTATGGCAATCATAATATTATAGTTCACTTAAAAGTCGTTTCAGTAGATTAAAGAGAAATTTTGCTAAGGCGAAAATCATGTTGAAATGTGAGGACTGTTTGCTCGTGTGTGTGCGCGTGTATGTGAGTTCCCAAGTGAACCCTGTTACTCCAGATCTAATTTGTGCCAAGATCATTCAACAAGACCCCAACAGAGCTATGTCAACAAGAACTTACCTGGAGAGATCGAAGAACAAAACACCAATCGGAAAAAACCAAATACTCCCCTCTTCCCATCTCCCTGATCCACCGGTACAACCACGCACACAATTTTCCCCGAACAGATCGAAATTCAGAACGACCCGTTTCACGGCCCCACCAAACGGTTTCGGCCACAATGAAAACATCTTATGGTAGCTTATTCTCCGGAAAGATCCGAAGTGAAGTGCCATTGGATGGTCCATATTAAATGAGAAGTGCACACAGCACACATACATATACGCACACACACACACACACACACACACACACACACATACACACATACGAACAGCGCTGCTCGGTACAAAACATTACAAGCAAACCAAAGCATGTGCTTTATTTATTGAAAAAGTTAAACAAAATAAACAGCTCAAAAGAGAGATGGAATGTTAATGAGTGTACATGCAGTAAGCTATGTACACTCTGCAGAAATGAGCGATGCAATCCAGAAAACTAAAAAAGTTTTAATACGCGCTACAGTTAATACGTACTACAAATCATAGAAATGCTATTCAAAAGAAAACGTAATTTTGTTGCTATTCCTATTCTTTACTTTTTCACCTTCTGTTAAAGCGCATGATGGCTGAGACAAATTAATCGTTGGATGAAACCTGCATCACAGATAACCACAGATAAACAGGTAGGGAGACGTACAACAGGTAAATTTAGATACACTGAATTCAATTCCTTAATCGAGGATATAGTCTGATCCACATCCCCTCAATACTACCATACAACATTAGGAGACATATAAATATTATTCGACTACTATTCATCGCTCATTTCAAACACTGATAACGACTTCTCGATTTTCTTCAAGGATACATCTAATGATATTCACTTTCATCGATGAGAACAACATCGCTCCGTAAGTAACACTACCGGTTGCTCTGTCCTTTCTAAAACATTCAAAGCTGATTACTTGACTCACTCTTACATTAACTTTTATCTAAATTCATTACATCAATAATAACTTTGAAACCGTTACTGCAACAACCTTCGCATAGAGAAAATGTACAACATATATTTTATGTGATATGAAATCCTATCACCTTGTTGAGCTTGAGCGATGATGTTATTCTGCGACATTGTCGATTAAACTGGTGTAAATGATATTATTAGGTTTATGACACCTTCTTTGCCTTCACCCTAAACACTAAAAACAGTACAGAAAGTCGGTCATTTCATAAGTTTTTCTGTTTAAAATGTATTCAATTTTTTTCCTTTTATGATTAAAGAGATTTTTTGGACTACCAAAGTAATACAATAGATGTTACAACCAATATTCCAAGATATGGAATAATGGTTGTAACTTCCATTGTGGCATAACTTCTCTGATGCGGCAGTAAATTTTTCTGCCGAAACACACATTTTCGGACTCTACATGCATTCTATCTACACAAAGATTTTTCGACATTGGATACTTAAAATGAATAAATTTCAACAATCACCTGCTGTCCAGAAAGTTGATACCAGTCATCAATTACCTCACCACCGAATATACCATTTGGAAGTATTATATGTGCCCAAGCAATACATTCATCGGCAGTGAATGCTTTCTGCAAAATAAATTGAAGTTTATACATACAAAACGGCAAGAAAAGATAAAAGAAGGAATCGATAAAGCCTCCAAAACAGGAAAAACAGAAAAAGAAATTCTCACTTCATCAAAAACTTGAAGATAAATCGATTCAACACCATACGGTAAGTATGCATTGATGACACGATTCCACTTCGGTGTTTTACCACCATTTACATTTTTTGGTGTTTCAAAAATAGCATTCGCCACCCGAACAGAACAGTAAGGATCCATCCGCACCAAACCATAGTTTTTTACCAGTCTCGCTTCTATGATTGTTATCGAAATACGACCACGTGTATTCGGCGGCGCAAAACTGTAGAACGCACACTGAAAACAAATAGAAACGAAACTTCAAATGCTTGAACAGTAAGTTAGTCTGTCCTCAATAATCTCATTTAAAAAATGGCTAATGCATGGGTACCTGTGCTTGTAAAAGAGCTTGTTGAGCAATTAAATTGGGATCCGCAATGTAGAATGGAACCATAGACTGCTGCTGGTGGCTTTGAGTTGAAATTGGCGACACGATACGTAAGAAATCTTCTGGCAACTGGTCCAAAAAAACCTATAAATCAATTTTTATTATTTCAAATCTCTCAAAATTGCGGTTATGTTGTCTACATTACTTTATAAAATTGTACTTACCAGGAAAGAAATACATGGATAACACTATAACTCACGGTTTTGATAGCTTTCTATGGAGAAAAAGGAAATTTACACTACGCAACTCCTGTGACACTTCGTTATATGCAACATAAGCTATGAATCCATAGGCAGCAATTTATCGTTGCAATAACCTTTTTTCGCCGCTCAGCAGCAACAGTTCGTGTGAGTTTGGTTGAGGACAAGTGAGGTGCTGTAGATGTCGAAGTCATTTCCTAAACTCCTGTAACATAAGACCTTAAACAGTTCCGAATCGACAAGCTAGTGTTCTAATTTATTTTTCAAGAGGAAACCTCTCCTAATTCACATTTCTTCCGTATAGAAACTATAAGCTTGAAAACAAAATGAGCAAAACATCAAATCAAGAGGATGATTGTATATTTATTCTAAAGCCTTGGTGGATTCGAAAATACTGTGAAAAAAACGAATAAATACTGCACTTTTTTTGCCATAATATTCAAAAACAAGCATTATTTAAGAAATGTAACATTAAAATATTCGATTGGACTATAGTGGATACTGTTTTTACGAACGTTGAATCATATAAGCATAATAATTTATTGGTAATTAGTGCCGTAAAAAACATAAAAATTGAACTGAATCGATTTTCAAAGACTAATTAGTAATTTATGCAACAAAGAGCATAACAATAACGAGCAGGATGTATGTCGTGATATACGAAATCAGAATTCTACCGTCAATAGCTACATAAAACATCACCACTTCGAATTATTACGATCAATATTGATCCGAAAAAGTCAAAAAAACTAATGAAACGAAAGTTAAAATAATTCTTACTATTAAACCTTGTTCAAATTCATTTACTGCAATAAATAAAATGACAGCAAAACACAAACCACAAGACTGGCCTGCACTTGTGCCAAATATGTATATCGAACTGTCTTCATGCTATACTCATTTTAATTTATAACAAAGCGGGGTAGATTTACCCTAAAACTGAAGCAGCTGTAACATGCTTAAACAAAAGAATAAAATTTGGCACAAGTGGAATCCAACCACGGGAGTATATGCGAAATTCTCTGAGATCACTATTATGAACATCTGTCAACAATTGAAAGGTGCAGTGAAGACAACTGTTTCGCACATCTCACAATTGCCGCGCACCTAAAACATCGTAATCACTTTGAAAAAAATTTTGAAAAACTCGGCTCCTGAAAGTAAACAAAAACAAAGAGACCATGTTAAAAGTATGGTGGAGTTACTACATGTTAAAAGTACGTTTTTTTTGCCTCCAGACAGTGATGTAAAATTTATGGCATCATGGTATATGGTATTTCTCTCCATCTTGGTGAAGAATGCTTTCTACTTTGTTTTGCTGACTATTTTAAACAAACACCCATTTTCTATATTTTTCTCTACTTTTCCCCTTAATTTGAATTATTTCAATGATTGAAGTACTGAATGATTGAACCACATAGTAGGACTCAAAAAAGTGTTTGAACAAAATTCAATATGTTAAAGAACCAGCTACTTATTGTCAAATATATGAAAACAAATAAATACCGTGTTGCTTTATTAGTTGATTCGGATATCAGGATACCACTGATTTCATCAATCTTTGCATTCAATGCACCATCGAGAATCAAGTCAGCAAGAAGCACTAAAACTTCGTCCACTTTAACCCGAAGTTGTTGTGCAAGAAATGATAAGTAAATCCGAGAGTACGGTACACAAAGACTTATTAATACCTGTAATGTACAAATGTATTGAGTTATGTTAAATGCTGAAGTACAATAACTATATACTGCAATATGAAAAACAATAATATAACCTGCGAACGAATGTTGGTAAGCAATTCTTCAATATGTTCACGGATAAATGGATCAGCCATAATGGCATCACGATTTTTTTCAAGAATGCTTTCAAATTCCATCAAATTATTGTCTTGGTAAGCTCCTACAAGTTGATTCATTGCAACTATTTCAGGATCATTGCGGAACGGTTTTGCTTCCTGACTATCAAATGGATTTATTCCAGACCTGAAAAACGAAGTAGTCAACTACCAAAAATGTCTAATGATAAGAAAAGGTTTTTTTTTTCATTAACATTTTTATATTTACATGTTTGAAATGAAGTGCAATTGCAGTCGCAGTGGCTTACTTAATAAGCATATTCGCAAGCACCAAATATTTCAAACATGCAATCCTTCGTTCGGATCCACTTTCGTCATAATTTTTAAAAGCTTCGAAAAAATCAGTATGAGCTTTTTCAAACTGCTTTTCTCGTAAATGCATTTTTCCTCCACATTCTGGAAAAAGTTTGGCGCTTCTTTTTTAAGGTTTAGAAAATTTATGAAGTGATATAAAGAAGTCTTCATGAATTCAAACAAATGTAAAATATGATAAGAGAAGAAAACAAACCGCGAATGACACCCATAATAAGTGGATGTGGTATTGCACTTTTAACATGTAAACTTTGCTCGTAGAGTGCTTTCAAAGCTTTGTTATTCTTTTGTTCTGTATACATCTGAATTTCAAGAGCATAAATTTCAAGCAGCTGGGTACCCTTCTTCTGATCTTCCTCACCAAGTTCATTCTGAAATGAAAGTCGCTGCGAAGCATAATTCTATTAAAAAGTTCATTCTGAAATTAAAAAACACAACCACACCATATAATTTGACCACAAATTTCTCACCTTACATGAATTCCGTAATTGTTTAATTATTTTCTCCAGCTTTCCAAATTCTTTTTGGTCAAAATACAACTTCCCAAGTTTCGTGTTTGTCTTAAACCACAACCGCTCATTCTTGGCATCCTGAAAAAATGATGCATCGAAAAAATGGAAACTAAAGTTGTAAACAAAATATAAATTTAAAGTGCGCCTAATAAAAAAATTGGCACTAATTTATTCAAAGCAATAGCAGCGGTGAAAATAGTGACTTCTTACTTTATCTGAATTCTTGGAAACAGAACTTTAGACGACCTTTAATGCATCCAATGTTGTTTCATAAAATATTTGTAACAAATCCATTTGCTTTGATGTCGAAATATAGTCCAAAATCGAATTTATTGATTTCTCTGAGTAATTCTTCGTAACAGCTGATTTGATGTAGGTAAGTAACTGTCGATAATATTTCAGCATTTCATCATAACGATTCTGCAACACATATTCGAGGTCAACTTCTTCAAACTTCAAGTTTGAAATTTATAAAAAAATTTGACAAATGATTTTCATTTGTAAGATGACATTCATTCTTATTCGAAACAAAATTAACAAATGAGCCGGTAAACAATAAATGAACTAAAAGAGATGATCTTACTGCAGCAAACGTTATCTTGACCATTTGTTTGAGCGCTTTGAACCCCCATTCTCCCTTCTCGCTTTCCAACTCTAATACATGTTTGAAAGTCTTCAAAGCACTATCAAATTCTTTTTCAGCTTTTAAGGCTTTTGCATTGTAGTACTGATTCTCTAAATCCACATCCGGTTCACTGGCTGAATCATCCGAATATTCCTCCAATAGACATACTTTAATTAATTGAATCTTCTCATTCCTTGCTCTCAATATATTTTCCTCTACTACAAAATGAAAGAAAAAAAGTAATGTACCAGGCCATAATCCTGATCATCCATGAAGTCATCGTCCATCGCTGACTATCCAAGCCTTCCTCCACACAACAATAATAACTATGCTTGCTTTAACATTCCATTCCGTCCAGCTTCTTCACATATTCATTGTGCAACAGCCACGTCTCACTTACTCATTTTTTGTATTCGAAAAAAAAGTATAAAAGGAATTCGTCTCCGTTTTCTACCTGTAATAGATCATTTATTTAATGGAATGAACAGGTCATGTAGATTTAATGGCTATCATTTATAACGAAATAAAAGATTGTGCTTTTGTGAAGAATACATTATTAACATTAAAAGAGAGGGTGAGAGAGAGAAATTCACATATTCACTGATTCACATATAATAAATTCCCTTTCCGTCCATTTCTGTATTCCATGGAGGAGGAAAGGTAGTAAAATTGCAAATGTTTAATATTTAATGAAATGATTTTTCCGTGTTTATCATGGAAAGCTTTTATTTTTTATCTTTCCATCAGTGGTTTTGGCATTCGTAATTGGAAGAATTGTATTAGTAATGGATAAGCTAATAGTTAAAGGTTCTAATCAGGTACACCTAATCAGGTAGACCGGAAAATAAACGAGAAGTGATACGGTAGACGAAACAATTAATTTAGGTCTCCAGAAATTATCATCTGTTCATTTTTAGCTTATTTAATCTATTCAATAAGTAAAACTTTATTTTTTGCATGTTGTGCAAGAAAGTTTTGGCGAAAATATGTTTGATACATTGGTGACAATACTTGAAGTGACCATTATTTATTATGCAAATTATATCGAAAGTCGTCATAGTATAGCATATGTGCTTGTACCATTATCATCTGAGACTGCAATGCGCTTGGTTTGTTAACTTTCAATTTCTACGAAATATTCGGATATGGCGCAACTAGCCATATTCATCCTAATGATCAGGCATTTGCTATTAATTATTTGATGTTGAAATTATCTTTTAAGAACTCAAATAGCATAAGATATAATGTTAACCTTTTTAAATGGCACATTTCTTTCGTAATATTTCCTAAACATTGATGAGTCATTCTTGAAAATAACATGCGCTGATAATTTAAAGTGAAAAAACGAATAATTTTTGAAAGGAAATATCCTTCAAAGAGCACTGTTACATAATTCGATATACTAAATTAGCATATTGGAAATTTGGAAGAAATTTTCAAATTATCAATTGCAGGGTTTAAAATCTAATAAGAGTGAAATATTCATCCCGTGTACTAATTGTTTTTTCAAATTTGATCGATCTAATGATCGATTAATACAATATTATAATCGGCCAGCATTTGGTGAAACTGCGGTGCCCTGCGGATGCTTTGAATATGTGAAAGAAGTTTTCACAAACCTTAAAAAACCGGCTCTAATAACAGTGTCACAAAATATTATCATAATCAACACTGACGTATATTATGGGGTTATTTCATCTTTCTTTTTTCTAAATATTTATTGATTGATCATATGTTTTAGCATTTCTGCTTTTCACTTTGAATATTTCATCATCAAAAGAGAAATGATTAAAAGATATGATATGATATCTTCCTCCATCTTAATTATTTAATCATATAATTATGTAAATGTAATTGTAATTTTTGAGGTGATGAGAACGGATCGATGTCGCTTGGATTCAATGAAATCAACGCGAACAGTTAATGGCTTGCAGCTAGCTTTGTTGATGAAATGTTCGTGAAAAAAGAGTGAATGTAATTAGTCATTTTTTTGTAGCTCACATATCGCAATTATTTCGATCTTTTTGTATTGAAGTTGTCGGTAATCCGAAATAACTTTATAATATGAAAATTGTGTTAAACAATTAATGTATCTTTATCCTCTTGTTATTTCTACTGTAGGAATCCTTTGCCTCAAATATTCTCAATCAAATGATTCAATATATTTGTTTAATGTTTTAATTCACTATTGTAAGGAATACTGTAAATAATTCAAAACAAATGACTCTTTATACCATCAGTTTTATTTATTAGTGTTAAGTTGGTAAGAACATTACTGGTTACTATTAATATAAGCATTGTGCTTATGGATTTTAAATCCTTTCCATTCCTTGAAGTCTAATGGAGATATCAGACTAAGATAATGCTCTAAATATCATTTCTGAATATGGTCCTATAAGTCATATATATTTTTGTTTAGTTATATGTGTAGCCTTTATTTATATCTCATAATTAAAAGTTTCCCTCAATAATATCCTATTTACAACTTTTTCAAAAATATATTCTCTCCAAAATTAGTATTGCATAAGCATTCTTTTTATAAAAAAGATTTGCGGGAGTTATGTGAACAGTAAATAAAAACATTTTTATCAGATTTACACTGATTACTGATAAAATAGGACAATTTAAATTTCACTCGGATAAAATATGGGCAAATATTCAGAGCATAATTTCCCCTTTGAAATGATTCCAAATGAATTCCGGAATTAAGGCTTCATTAAAATATAATTTTTTCTGGGATGGAATTATCATTTCTTCTATTTTTCCAGTAATCCTAAAAAATTAATAAAATTTTTATATCGAATAAAGATCATCAATGAGAAGGCGATGGTCCAATGCTCGTGGCCACTCCATGGGAAATCGAACTTTCTTTCTCAAGTTGCTCTTTCCAGGTGATATGTGTAAAATGGACTTAATTGGGATCGTCCCTGCACTTCGTATGCTGTAAGTATTCGTATCGCAATTTCTCAATTCTTCCAAAGTGTTTCCTAAATTTTCTTCTTTTTTTTCCACCAATTCCTGCCTGTACGGTCTTTTTTCATCTGCCACCTTCAGTTGTTGAAAATTCATAGTTGGACAAATCTTCATTGAAACATTTGAGTGTTCTGATATAGTCTTTTCAGGAAAATCATTTCTGATTCTATTAGCAGAAATATCAATTCCACTTGATTTCGTACCAGTAACACTGTCTTGTACTTTCTTCAACGAAATGGGAATCAGCGATGTCGGAAGCGCTGATCGAACATATGGCGAATAGCAAACATGTCGCAAGATGTTAGTATCATTGAATATATCAGTGGAAGGCTGAGAATAGTGTTGAAAATATTGTGGTAATGATTTCGTATGTTTATCATCTTTTAATCTCGATTTTGCTGTGAATTTTTCAGGAATCAAAGATAGACCGAAATTCTCTGCGAAATTTCTGTTATTTTCATCATAATCAGTGCTGAGACATTTCTTTGGAGCATTCAACGATAACAATCCAGGCTGAATCTCTTCGCTCATTTCAATCTTCACTTTACTAAAACAAAATTAAATTGAAATTGGAAATTGGAAATTTGAATTCAGATTATTGGAAATTAGGAAATTTAAATTAATCGGAAGGAAAATTCAGCTTGCGATTCACTTTTATCACTTTAAATTTCTTAAACTTTCAAAATTCAAATATTTAAATGCTATACCTCAGATTGTAGTAAAAAAAATTGTCCTTACAGGATTCAAAAGAGTAGCAAGGAAGAGAGAGAGAGAGAGAGAGAGAGAGAGAGGGAGAGAGGAGAAAATTCACAATTGTTCCAGTAAATTTCCAAAGGCATCTCGTGTTTCGTATAAATGGAAGAGTTGCTCCGGAACTTTCCTGTGATTTGACTTCACTTCACATATATTCCGTATATTTCTATACTGCTGCTGTTGATAATTTGAGGGATGTGCAAATGAGCCAACTAAATGTCCCAAAAATCTACTGTTACTGGTCCTCTGCCCGCTCGTGTTTTCATCAATTACTTCTGTATTAATTGTCATCGAAGGAATTTTTCTCAAATAAAGATCATTCGCAAACTCTTCCTCAATTTGATTATAATCGTACTTCGCAACTTCATTACTATGATGATCACTGCACTGTTCGTAACTTCTTGCTGTTTTTTTAAAAGATTCCTTCATTGGGATAAAATTTGAATCTAATCGAGCAGTTGAAGTAGGTTGCTCGTTTCTCCAAGGATTTAGCATAGATTCCGGTCTAAAATAAATCTCATATTGAAGCATAACATCTGATTACTACAACAATTACATCAAAAAAGGGAAAAATAATCTCTTATCATGCGGAGCTTATCAGTTTCATCTATATAATAATGAATAATATTCTTCCTTAGGAACAGATAAGGAAGCACTGCTAAAATTCATAGAAATACAACTTTAGATACCTCATATTATAATTTAATGCATCATTTTTTGCTGCTTTTCCTACATCACGATGATAATTAACTTTTTGCGCAATTGTTGTTGGAAGCTTCCTCATACTTGAAACACCACCATTGGACATTTGGGAAGTTGTACTATTCGGATCTAATTTGTAATTGCCATCAGAAGTTAATGCCATATCAGATGATCTAATCTTGTCTATCATTGGATTCTAAAACAAGATAGGATATAAAATTAAACTTATCCAATATAATCATTTATTAAATTTGCTTTCACCAGTACTTTTAAATCCATCATTATATTTGTCTCAAAAAAAAATTATAAATTCAAAGAACTTTTCATTCATTTTATAATATAATTATTGCAAGCGTATTAAAATGACCAGAACTGAATAGTAACAAATTAACTTCTATATCATATTTGCAATAGTATTCCCTTCATTTTGATCAGTAAATATTAGTAAACAAATTATTTGATACGTATCATATGCAGAATTTGCATATGATACATATCAAATATTGATTGATAAATCTAAATTCGAAGAAAATAACTTGAAAACGAACCATTTCGACAATATTTAAGCGCTCTTTTTCAAATGCATTAAAATTATCATGTGATATGCCATCTTTAGCAGTTAATTGATAATACTGATTTGGCATTTGATATGAGACGCTTTTGTTCCTCTTATTATCTCTATTATCTCCATTATTCTCTATTATGGATGGCGAATGAATTGTAGCAAATGTTGGTACTGCTACATCAAATGGTTGAATTGATAAAGGGTTTGGAGCATTATTTAAGATATATGGCCAAAACATATTTGGCTCCTGTTGAATACCACAATGAACAATAATACCATCATGTGGGCCATAACTGGTAATTTTTGTCTTCATATCAATAAACACTTGGCTATGTGCAATATCTTCAATCGGCATTCCTAAAATATTTTTATTATTTTAATTATTAAAAAGAGAAAAATAAAATTTGACTCAAAAAAATGAGCTATTGACAAGAAGAGTTCCTGTTAATTAATCACCCATACAAATGATAATTATATGATATCATATTGCAATCAATTTTATCTCATTTTTAAAACTAATTTAATAATATCAGATCTAGCGCCCTTTGAAATGCGACATCCTTAATTTCTCAAGTGAAAATAGCTTTTAAAAAGAGCTTTTTCTTGCTTAAATTACACCGAACACCGAATCCATTTCTCCATAAAGGGATTCAACGATAACATCACGTCAAACGTGATCAAATACTTAATTGACTACAAAACATTTCGTTCGTGAAAGAATTGTTGCGTGAATGAATAAAATCACAAAGCGTAAAGTAACGTAAACGATGGCATAATAAAAAGTGAAAGAGCATCTGTTAGGAGGGAAAGATGAAAACATTCATTATTCACTGTTGTGACACGTTGTTGGATGCTATTGCCTGTTTGTCTACACATACCTGGTCTACATACCCCCTTGAAGCACCTTGAATAAACATCACATCACAGGAACTAGTCGTTGTCATCAATGCTACCTCACTACTATCTCTCCAGCTTTATTGAATTTCATCATTTTTCTTCGATCAGCCGATAATAATAATACAGTGAAGTAAGGTAACGTATAGAAGCACATGTTTGATGTATGATTTTATAAATTAGTGTAAAAAGACATAACGAATGTTGGATTTATTATTTCTAATATAAATCTGAAATAACTTTTTCCTATACATAAACAGACAAGAACTTCAAAAGTAGAATAAAGAAACGTAAAAAGTAGTTTCTACTCTTATAGAAATCAAGAAATGATAAGAAAAATGGAGATGTTTGATAATAAAAATGAAAATTAACCATTGATAGAATTGATATCAAAGTAAGACTTTCATTCATATTTAACAGATCGATGTGTTGTTATATAAAGTGATCAAATGTATGGAAGAATATGAAAAGAGAGATGATATATGAGCTGATGATAGATATCTGAAGATAACAAAAAGAATAATTATGATTTAATGATTCATGCATGAGTCATTGTTCTTCTTTAGTTAAAACAAATGAATTTCTGAATATTAGTACGATAATATTTCTGAATTTATTTCAGGAACTTATCATAATTCTGATGTTAGCCTGAAATAGCATTCTCTTAGCTTTATTTAAAACACTTTGATTGTAATCAATCAAAATGATTAATTAACACATTTATTATTTAATTTTATAAATTTTATTTAAACAAAAAAGAAAGAAAATAGTGGGGAAAATTTTGAAAAAAAGAAGCGGAAGTTGTAAAAAGGGAAATTTGTTGAAAAATGAGAGGAAAAAGGAAGATGAGATAAAAGAAGAGGGCTTGGGAGAGGAATATTAATATGATTTCTTATGCATTTTGCAAATCAGTAATATGAATATTTTGAACAAACAGACACAGATGTTTCTGAACAAGGAAAGAAATCTTCCTATTAGTGTCAATACAATATGCGCATGATACAAGTGACACCCGCATTATTGTGCCTCTATCTTCTATCATTTAGTAATTTGATAATCACATTATTCGCTCTTGATGAACCTCAATGGTGGTATGATCTATTTCATATTAAATTTAAAATTTTTAATTTCACATTACCAAATGAAAATGTTATGCACATTCAACAGCTACTACATTTTATTCATTTTTCATTGCAATAAAAGTTGCATTTACAGGATGGTATAATTTTCAGGAAAGTTTACTGGATTCATTCTTCACTTCTTGAAGTTCGTTTGTTGTCTGTTCAATTTGAATCTATATCAAAAATAATTGAATTCATTTAGATCATAAATGATTTCTTTTCATAAGCTAATATATTTTTCAATTCTAATTTGAGATCTTATGTCTCTCTCTATAAAAGTAACTTTCTCGATTCCAATTTTAATTGCAATTATTTTTTAATGATAATTATTTACAGAGAAACAGTTGTTTGAAAGAAAAATAATATAAAAAACCTAATTCCAAAGTTTAACAAGCAAATAGTATCCTGAATGCTTAACCATATGTAATTAAGTTATCAGAAGACAATAAATTCTGTTGAGTTTTTGCAAAGAAGCAAAATGTATATGAACAAAATGTATAGATGAAAGGATTATTGGACAAGCCAATATACCGTATTCTGCAAAAAGATCCGGCTTTGATTGATGTCCTGAAAGAGGCATTACAAGATACATTGCTTGAATGTTCACGGCAATCAGTTATCCATCATTGGAGATGCAACATTGATGGAGCACCTAGGAAAACTCTTTTCTCCAATGTTGCTTCATTCGGTAAGTACTATTTACAGGAAATTACGGTATGTGTAATTTCGGCAATTCTGGTATATATTAGAATTGTTTTTTAAGTATATTAAGTTCATTTGATTAATTCAGGATATTTGCAATAAAAAGCTTTGAAATCACAACACTTTTAATTAGTCTAACAAATTAGGTACTACTAAATTTTGCTTTAATATTAGAATGTTTTTGTAATTACTCGAAATATTAGCCTCGGTAAATACTGTATTAAATTTTAGCTAGCAGGGAATTTGCGTATTTCCTTGCGCTTTCCAGTGCTGCAGCAGTACGCGCAATAGCTCATGCTTGCGCTAGCGGACGTCTTCGATCATGTTCTTGTGATCCGGCAAGGATCGGTCCAGTACGTGCAGATCAACGTGACATATGGGCAAGATGTAGTGTTGAGCGAGGATCCGACAATTTACGATATGCTATAAAATTGTCGAAGTATTGTGTCCACTATTTAAATTTAACAATTCTTTGCTCAAAAAGTATTCGAATGCTCGATCCTTTTCTTCCTGATATTTCCTATTTATATTTTGTAGAACTAAACGTTAAGAAAGTTTCATTATCTAGGAATCGAAACGATCTCCGAATTTTTTTCAATCAATTCAAATATTTCTATCGTTTATTTATGAAAAATTTATGATAAATGACAAAAGTATCAAACTGATTAACTTTTGCCATAATCAGAGTCATCTGCCAGTATCGCATACAAATAATTTCAAATAATACTTTAAATTTACCGGAATGAACGACATCAACAATATCGATCGATCATGAATAATTTTCACTAAAAATTAATTTTTTTAAAATCTAAGTTTTATCTCAAGATAGCTTTGAACAATATAGCAATGTAGCCTCAAGTTATGCCTGGACAATATAGCAATATAGCTTTTACCATTCTTTCACTATCAAATTTTCTTATGATAACTTTATTCAAGTTCAAATTTGAATAAATTTTATTCTAGCATTTTGCTTTTCTCTTCCAATATTACTGAGCAATATTCAAAATTATTAGAAACCAATTACTGCAGAAAATATCTCCTCCACTTTCTAACCATCAATTTTCTTTTAAGAAATTCGTTTCTTATCTTCCCTTTAGTTATCATTTATAATCATAAAAATGTTCTTTCCAGAAAAATATAATTCATCGATTTTTTATTTAAAAATTGTTCTTTCCAGGAAAATTAAAATTCACTATTGTCCTCAATTTTAGGATTTGAATACAAATTGAATTAACGGAATTAGAAGAAAAAAAGATTCCGTTCTCCATAACGCTTCAACAATTTTCTACAAACATACATATACATTCTCAATATTTTAATAATTCATGCCAAATATCCTCACAATAATAATACATCTATTTTATTCTTCTATGAATTATTAAATAATTTTTTTTTTAATTTCATTCATTTTCAATTGACTCTCAAAATATATAACTTAGATGAAATCATATTGTTACTAAAATATGAATAGGTGTTCCAATTAGAATATCTTTTCAGACGTTTAATCGATCGCCAATTCTCTTGCTCATACTCTGATAGGGTGGCACAAATTTACCTGCACAATATTGCTGTTGGAAGATCGGTAAAGGCTTATATATGTAAATGTTATGATGAAGTTTATCATATTTCATTTTTACCTTTTTAGCATTTAAGCTATTGAAGCTCTAACCTCTTCATGTTATCTGAAACATCTTTTTACATTTCAAAAAAAGCGGAAAAAATATATTTGCCCTCTTCTCTATTGTACTGCAAAATTAAAATATTCAAATTCATGATTTCACAATAATTGAGACAAATATAATTTGCAGCGTGTTGCTTTGCATATTAAATGTTACTGCGTTTCGGCTTTCGGAAGCTGTCGACGGCGACACTGTGAGGCTAAAGTGGTACCATTTGAAATGACTGGTGATGCCATTATGGAATCATTATTGCGATCACGTCGCATTCGACGTTCCAATAGTTTACCAACCTCACGGGTCACGTGTCTAAGACCACGAAATGAACGAAATATGCGACGCAAGTACGTTTCTTGCTCGTTTTAAAATATATAATCTATCTATATGATCATTCTTCTGAATAACACATGACGATACACTCATGATGGATTCCCGACATAAAACTCACAATCTATCTGTCAAATTTATTTTTAATCTACTTGCTTTTTTGTGCATTCTTTTCCTGATCCGGAAAATGTTATGACCTATTTCGACATTATTATAATATCTTTTGATAAATAATGTTATTGATCATTGATAGTAGATAATACTAATCAAGCAATCTTAACATAACAATACTTTTCTTTCTGATTCATAACAAGAAAGAATTACTGTTTCACATTATTCTTATAAATTTTGCATATGTTTCATCGATATATATTTTGCAATTAAATTTGTATGTTTTCTTATTCATTTAATTTTGCATTAATTATTACAAATTGCACTGATACGATATCCTCTTATTATTTTTTCTTGCTACATTCTATATGTTTAGAGAATAAGATCGTAGCAAATAAAACTTTTAATTAAATATGATAGATTTTATACGTGAATAAGTTACATTTAAATTTTAACGATAATCGCTTGCATAATAAAATCATTTTTGTTGCAGAGTGGTACCATTGTGGTTTATCGATACTCGAAATTGGTCAATGCGTAATGGAAAATCTCGTCGACGATTAAAAACATAATTTTAATTATGATGAATTGTGAAAAATGAATATTAGTAATTGTTGAAAATTAAAAATATGAAACTTCTAAAATATATATCTTTATTTTGTAACATGAATATTTGTAACTAAAATAATTATTCAAAATCATTCTTTTACAGCTCATAAAATCATTTTACTGATTTGATAACTGATCACTCCCTCCCTCTCTCTCTCTCTCTCTTTACAAAATTATATAAGGTATGAGAAAAGAAATTAAGTTAATTCTAAAAACTACTACCGTGCTAATACTTTCTAATTTTTGAACTTGAAAAATTCAAAGTTAATAAAGTAATAGAATGAATTCAATTAGGAAATTAAACTGTCTTTGCTTAAAAATTTATCTTAAAAAATGAAAGATTTTCAATATCGTCATTTAATTTAGCGTATTTAAGTATTTCAACGAATATATCAAACAATGGGCTCATTTCAATCATAATTATTTTCTGGCTTTGAAAGATGCTTTGGCTCTGCAAATAATCAAATAGAAATTGATTTAGATTCGAACTTATGGCATAAATTTTATTTATCATTGAATGATAAGGAAGGATAACAGTTGATTAGATTGAATTATTTAAATTCCTACAGATTACTTGAAATTTTACAAAAGTTAATTTTTGAGCCAAACAATTAAATAATCGAAATGGCAAAAAAAGAAAGGAATATTTGAAATGCTGACAGCAAAGGATGTTTATGAATTTACTAATGATAATTATTTGTGGTATTGAAAATTTAACAATTCTTATTAATTAGTAGCAATTAATGAAATGATCCAAATAAACAAAAATGTTCGGAAAAAAGATCAATTAAGAAAAATTCAAATATCAAAAATTAAATTTAAATGAATAATTAACTTGAAATGATTAAAGAAATACTCCAAAATGAAAATTTTAAACAACGAAAAAAAAACTTTACAGAGAGAAAGAGAGAGAGATAGAGAAAGAGAGAGAGAGAGAGGATGATAGAGGACGTAATCATAAAGATAGGACAGAACCGCCCATTTTCAAGCAAACTTCACCATTGAATAGATTGACTGTTGAAATGATACGGTAGGAGGATGACACATTAACAAAACTTGAATTTTTACCAACCGATTGAATTCTATGGTAAGTGAACATTTTACCGCTGCAAATTATCTTTGAGAAATGAGGAGGTGGAAGGGGAGGAAAAGGAAGAGGAGGCGGATGATAAAAGAATTGCTGGCAAGAAAGATGAATTTAAGAGGAAGGTAAAGAAGAAGGGAGAAAAAAGGGAAATGGATGATACCTTGAAAAAGAATGAGGAAAGGAAGAAGTTTTTGGATTCACTACCTATGTATGTACATGTATACATATGTATTTATTTGCTCATTGATTCATGATGCATCTGAATCAATGGTACTACTGTGTCACAAACATACAACAAGAACGCTGTTTCAACCTAATTTTTTCCTCCGCCTCTTCAATAATTTGCATAAATTTGTATAAAAAACTACTTGGGTGGTCTGTAAAAGTTTATTAATAGATTTTTATAGAAAGTATTTTTATTATTAAAATTTAAATTCTGCTTATTGTATACTATTATTATTACTTACTACTACCATTACTATTATTATTGCTATTGCTATATTATTATTGCTATTATTATCATTCAAAAGAAAATCAGGGAAGTTGTAAAAAAAAAGGAAAGAAGAAATTATATTGGATAATTAAAGCATTTTCTACGACGAAATACTAAAGCAACTTTTAAGAAGAGGATAGTTGTGGTTAAAGGATGGGCACTGGTAATAGTGCACCTCTTCAATCGAGATTGTAAACTTTGTTCGATTACTACATTGTAGCCATAGTAAACCTGTCCAAACAAAAGAAACTACTCTTTTTATCATTGCTGCAAATACAATATATCCATGAAATTATAGCCATTGTTATTTCAACTCGTCTGGTAAATTGTGTTTATTAATTGTTGAGGTATATTCTACTTTGAATAAAATTTTTCATTCGAGAACTCAGCTAGTTCTACTAATACTAATTGTATTGTGTACCTTCGCCGATTATTCTCTCTGATTTTTCATTCGTCTTTTTCTTACTGCATTATCAATAATCAATAAAAAAAATTATTACTTCACAATATTCGTATCTGTTATCAAAAGTTGATTTGTGTACAAGCAAATTCAAAAATTGTACAATCGATATATTTTGAAATTATATTGATTACAACTGATTATTCTAATTTAAATTATAACTTCTCTATTCTACTTTATTTTATCAATTAATTCAAAACAAAAGAAAGAAAGAAAGAAAAGAAAAATTGATAGAAATTGGCGAAATCAGTGAAAGCAATATTTATATATACCGCAAGGAAAATGTGGTTTGTGAGGCAAAGGAATGATATCAATTTGAGTGAGTTTGAAAGACATAATTCTTTTTTTACATTTTAAAGTAATTTTTTGTTATCGCATCATTAGTTTTTCCCTAACCATTTCCTCTATTATCACAAATATCGTTAACCCATCTCTCTGAAACCTTGAAATCTTGAACTGTATTTAATTTTACATTTTAATGATTGAACATTTATGACTCTAAGAGAGGAAGAAAGTATTCAAGTAAAATAGGCATTCGCTATCTTAGTGTATATCTTCCCTTATTAATTTGATCATTTTATTTTAGCTGTTTGAGTTTTTGAAAAAATGAAGCTTTCGTTTAAATTAATTATTTAAAAAGCAATTTTTTATCAGCTATTTATCTTATTACTATCTCTTATCAAAGGTATGCTTTCTTATTCACTAATGTTTTCTTATTCACTAAGAATTCACTAATGTGAATTCTTCATCAAATTTGAAATGATTAAAACAATGGTATGAAAGATTATTCTTATTATAGTAATGTTACATTTATTTGATGAAATCATTTTGTATAATAGTTCGATCTTGTTAACATAATTCTAATTTATTTTTGAACAATTTTGATATTTCTTAAAAATAAATTTCTCAAAAATCAGAAATACATTTACTATGATTCATCAATACTGCAAAATATCATTCATAATAATTTTAGTTGAATGGTATGTGCCGTTACTGTATGGCTATTTGTTATGTGCGCTATTGGTAGAGGAGAAAGCTTACGGTGTTCCAACAACACCACCCGAAAAACTAACTCAGGTATTCATTTTTCCAATTGTAAAAACTTTATACATTCCATTCTTTCACCATATTTATTAGTAAAGCAAGAATTGGGAAGTCTTGATAGTATATCAGTCTTATCAAATTTTTGTTATTTTAAAGTTATCCAAACCATTACATCATCGGCAGATATTAATTTTTAGTAATATTTTCGTCATTTAAAATCAAATATTAACAACCATAACGATTATTAATCGTTAGGGCTGTTCGCCAGAGCTTCTTCATCTGCGATCCCATCGACATTTTCATGTATTATGTCGTAGTCAACCTGCGATAGCAGTCGCAGCTTATGAAGGAATGCAAGATGCAATGAGCCAATGCAAAGAACAAATGCGTTTTCAGCCTTGGGATTGTTCCCAAATTATCACTGTATTACAAGATCCACCTATTCTACATCTCGGTACAATTAATCGCATATTATTTTAATTAAAAATGTCTTGAAGGAAGATAAAATAAGAAATTTTTATTAATTTCTCCAGGTTTGATAATTGAGAAATCTCATTATCACAATAATAGATTTATTTAGGAACCCGAGAATCAGCATATCTATGGGCACTTACATCAGCAGGTGCAGCATGGGGTGTTGCAACAGCTTGCTCCCAAGGATGGCTTCCTGATTGTTCATGTAGCGGTCGTGATGAATTGAAACAAAATTGGGAATGGGGTGGTTGTTCATATGGTGTACAATTTGGGATAATAACATCCAGAAAATTGCTTACAAGAAGTGCCATTTCTCGATCTCCCCTGAGAAAACTGGAAAAACATAATTTAAAAGCGGGAAGATTGGTGAGAATTCAATTTTTCACCGTCCTATACTATAAATGATAAAGCACTTAAAGTAGTATAATGTACCTTATCATTAAAGTGTTGAAAATTTGTTCAAGCGGCTATTAGCTCTATCGAATTTTTGTTTTTGCTTGAAACAGCATTTTCAATTTGACATATATTTTAGTAAGTTAATTTTGAAATTGGTTAAAATTGGCATATAAATTAAAGGGAAAATTTTGACTGACTAATAATAATAATAATAATTTATTGACTTATTGCCATTTGCAGTTACATAAATTTTAGACCAATAAATCTATTTGATTTGATACCGAGTCTTCCGATTTAGTTAATTTCAGGCGGTAAAGAAAACTTTAATATCATCCTGTAAATGCCATGGCGTAAGTGGAAGTTGTGATCAGAAGACTTGTTGGAAGAAAACTGCTGCACTGTCCACAATCGTACAACACATTACTAATAAAATGCACAAGGTTGGTTTTGCTACTCAATAATTACATTTTATAAAATTCTCTCAGAATAAAATTGATTCATTTACTGATGCTATATTTGAAACCTATATTTATATTTTAGGCTAGAAGACTTCCTGATCTAAATTCTCCTGCCAAGAATGCAGAACTGGTATATATGGAAGATAGTCCAGATCCATGTCGTTCAACCCGAATAAGTAATCGAGTATGTAATTGGAGGAATGAAACAAGTAGCCAGGGTGACTGTGGCTTATTGTGTTGTGGACGTGGATTCAAGGTACCACCTGTTCATTTACAATTGATGTTAAAATCGTCAATCTAAAATAAGCAAATGACAGTTGTTATCGAGTATGAAGCTAAATTCTCTGCAACTTCACATTCTATCAACGATATATTTGAAGATACATGATTCTCTAACAAAACATTATTCCTAGTATTATTTCATTTACACTGGGCATATATTTTTTTTTTTATAGGTATCGCATGAACTGATATCATATCAATGTGATTGTCAGTTTGTCTGGTGCTGTCATCTGAAATGCAATACTTGTCTAAGGCATCGATGGGTATCTACTTGCAATTAGAATATCTGACGCCGCAATAATAATGACCTATTTATTTCTCATAACTTCCCAAAGATTGTCACAAAACAAAACTTAATAGGTTGATAAATTTCACTTCTATTTTTTCACATCATATTCTTTTTAATTTCGATCATTCAGAGCTCAATCATTTCATTCGCATTATTTTGATGCTATTGAAAGAAATTTTCAACTTTTCTCTTTTCTTGAACAGTACCTATTATTTGTAACTACTCTAATGTTTTCACTAATATAAAAGAACCTATTGAAACTTATAAGCTTAGCTTCTAATTACAGATTATTGGATAATCCGATTTATTTGTAAATTGTATATATAATTATGCTGGTAACATCAATGATTGATTTTTTATCACTTCTCCCTTTCTCTTTCTATCTGTACATAATGTTAGTGGTACATAATTAATTTTTATATTCTTATATTAAATTCAAGATGAAATATTTTTATGATAATTTAATATATCCTAAAAAGATTCCATAAATATTTGGATTATAGGGGATAGCCAATGGATTAATTAGTCTTTATAATTTTTGATTATATGCTTCTCCTCTTATCTTTGTTTTAGAGATATGGAAGCCAATTATAATAGTTGTATCACTATGATGATGAAATAGAAAGAGAAGAGAAGAGAAGAATTAGAATTGTAATTAGAGATGATACAGTGCAAGTTATACAACTTAATTAGTCAATATTTTCATAAACAACAGTTTACTTCTAAATTCTCTATTTTTCTTCTCTATTGTTTCATGTATCTATTCATATATGTTATTAATTAATATGAATTTTACTTTTTCATAACCTTAATAATTATTTGTTAAAATTGATAATTTCAATTAAATTCAATCATCGAATCACATTTGATATTCAAATATAACATTAAACCCTCCTGAAAAAAAATCCTATTACTTTTAAGAAAGCAATCCGGAAATTATTGCGCATGAGGAATTAATTAGTGGATGAGTTGAAAGGTGAACGATATTTGAAATATAGGAAATGAAAAGAAATTTAGAAGAAAAAAGTGAAAGTTTTGCAATAGAAAATTTGAATGCCATCAAAGGAAATTCATTTTTTTTCTATGAGAAGTTAAGCGAACATAGCTGTACACAAATATTGCTGCCACCTTTTTTCTTTTCATATTTTAATTTTTCAAATTTCAAGGAAAAAAAAAGGAATAGAGGAAATAAATGCAATTGCTCATTTTAGCGGAAAAGAAGAAAAAGAAAAATTAGCAAAACAATTTTATAAAAAGAAATAATCAAATGATGGGTAGACAGGAAACCAAATAATTGCCTTTGAATGGATGAATTATCGGTAAATGTCGTCGTCTACCGCATTTATCCCACTTTTTCGTTGTACTTGTCGGTGACCACCCGCTGACCTCAGTTTTCTTCGTCGTTTGCTATATTTATTTCTTCCTATCACTGATGGACAAATAATACATGTTGCTTATGCATGAAAAAAATTTTTTAAAAATTAAAATTTTTTATAGTTACTGAGAAAAGAAGAGGTTCATTGAAATCGAAGCAAAATTTCCTTCAACTATATTGAATTAGTTAGTATAGATAGTGCATGAACTTTCCTTCCACATTTTAGGCATTTAGGATGATGCAATTGCGTCATGTATTTCGGCCTCATCGATTGCCATCAGATTGTAATGTTTTAAAAATCAGACTCAAACATACAATTCGAGTATATCCGAAAGATGTGAAACAAAAATGAATGGTATCATTGAGAAATCTTTTCTGCTGGAATATCTTCGATTGAAAGAACCAATCAAATTAATTGACTTTATACTCTCTACCCAAAGAAATTTCATATCAAAAAAATTCTTCTTTAAAAATACTGTATTGATCCTCGTGAAAATGAGCTTTTAATGAGTTATTTCCTAATTTTTTTTCCAACCCAATGATACCAATGAAATTTAATTGAAGTACTGTGCTATTGCTGTTAGAACCGGCAAATGTGTGCAATTGAAGGCGAAAGAAAGTCGTAAAACCATACATAAAACTCGTCATTCCAAATTAGAGAAATCTTGAAATTTACCCGCAAAATGGCAGCGTGCAAGTCATGCAACAGTAGCAAATTTTATGACTCTTAAAAAGGAATCCTTCACGTTAAGTTATGTACCTTTTAATTGTTCCACTTGAGCATCAAAATGCGAAACATCAAAACCATTGGATCCATTGGATCTCTAACCCGCATCTTCACTTGAATGGGTCAATGAAAGAAGTTCAAAACATTTGACATAGCCGATTGATCATCGTATATATATATATACATATATAATCAAAATTCAATTTGTTGCAGACTATATCAATCTTCAAGTTATTTGTTGAATGATACTATCTACGTGTAAAAAGACAAATATACGTCTTCCTATCATTATTAGCCGCTGCATAATCACATTAACCATACTTCTTAGCATTTCATTCCTCCCTCGTATTTAGATAAAAATACCCCTTATAAAATCTCTCATAAATTGGTATAATACGAACATGTCGATTCACTTACCAGTCATTTTGATGATTGTAACAAATGAATCATCATCAAATTCTCTTAAAAATCAATTCTATCTGTAAAGTATGCCACTTTATTATTTTCCTAAGTTAACCAATAGTTCAATAAAATGACAAAATAACATAAATAGTAAACAGGAAAGCGATATGTGTTTAACAAAGAAAACTTGCTATGAAAGATACACACGTACGTATAAGCGCTCTCTCAATAAATTTGTGAGCAGAAATAGTGAAACAATCACTTCATTGTGAAGTACTGTAAATAACAATAAAATGTTATTAATCTCTATAGCTTAGAAAAAGTGTAGGAAGTAAAATAACTTCTGTTGCGTATTGGTCGATCAAAATACATTCACCGAAATGATGTTTTGAAAATGAAATATAAATATAAATAAGATATAAATTTATCTAGAAAATGAATGAATCTTCTGCTAAATTACATGTTTAATTAGAGTCTAGCACAATACAAGCGCAATATTTATATGCAAGGCTTAGCTCCACTGTTGATCCACCAGATATTCATTGGTAATGGTGCATCTTGCTAAAGAACTTCAACAACAAGGAATGTTGATGAAAAAGAAGAGAATGGAGAATTACAAAGATAGATTAAATATGAGAGACAATCACGGACGGAAAATGACTCTGGCACTTCAGTTTCTGGAGAAAAATACATTGAAAATATCTTTTATGCTTCAACAACAAAGACTGCTGAAAATCTCTGGCATATGGCACTTGTGGGAAAAATCGCGTAGGGATTACTTCAACTATCGCAATTATAATCTAAATAAAACAAACATATCTCAGAGCAAAACAAAGATACTTTCATGAAGCATTGCTTTGATCTGCAACATATTTTGAACGCCAGCATTTTTATTGTGGCTAACAAAGGTATTTAACGCTCAGTGTTGGGGAGACATGCCACGTTCATATCGTGCCTTATTCAATGCTGCCAACTTTCCTCGCGCTTCAATTAGTTCACGTTCTTTCCGAAGAACTTGTTCCTGAGCATCCATCACCTACAATAGCATCTCGCCGTATCCATTTCTACGACAGTACTTTTTCCATAATGCAAATAATGAAAGTTCATCAGAATATGAATACAATTACTGAAGTTTTTCACAATTCGCTTTCAAATTTTTTCGAAAATTTTACGAAATAAAGCGGAATTCATAATAAAAATCATTAATCACCATATTTGTTAAATAGAACAAAACATCTAAAAAATCCAAATCACTAATTACATACCTGCGCAATACCCGAAACCATGCGTTGTGAAATAATTAAAGTACGCTCATCTTCATGTATAGCTGAACGAGCCGCCATTACCAAATGTTCCGTAGCTGTCTTCACGGCATGTCCTGCACTTTGCAACCTCTGCATGGCACGACTGTCTAAGTCTGACTTCACCTTACACGCTACCAAAAGGTGAGCAGTTGAGGAGGCTACCTAAACGATCAAAAATTAATTACTATTTTTTTCAATTCAGCCTCATCATTTAATTACCCAAATCCACCTTTCTCTAATGCATCATACACACTTCAGGAACATTCTCATCTCTTCGCTCATACGTCGTATTGCTAACTTTGTTTAATCTTTTAGAAAATTAATAAACATAAACACATGAAGAGCACTCCAATCATCATAATTAAGAGCACATAATTTCTAACACACCCTAACCCTTCCACAGTTTCAACGGTTCTTCTATAAATTTCAAGTATCATATATAGCAAAAAAGGAAGAACATTTTATGCCTCAAATCTCAAGTAAATGTTGTTACATTATAAATCATTTAATGATCATCTCTCTATGCTTGCTACTAATAATTTACTATAAGTTATTTTATAATTAGGCTGAGGAAATTATATTAAATAAGAAATAAATTTGAATGATTATTATTTGACTCAATATTAACAATATATTTGGCTCAGGAATTTGTTAACATTGACTATTCAAAAAATTTTCAAAAGACGAAAGCTTTTAAAACGGAAAGTGCAATAATGGCCCATCGGAAGATAAAAGTAACTAACTGTAAGAAATCATTTAATGCTCTGTTACAACTACATTGAAGAATCCAAGACAATCATCACACTATGGTTGTTATTTAACACATCGAGAAAATTTGAAAGATCAAAAAGCTTTATGAATATTTCGTTATCATTATCAGATTGGCAATTAAAAAATATCTTTATCAATAGGACCATCATATCAACCAAAAAAATGCATAAAAATGAAATCGCAAAATCGCAAAAAAAATGAAATCAAAAATGAAAATGAAATCATTTTGAAAAAAAAAAATGAAAATGAAATCGCAAAAAAAATGAAAAAAAAATGAATATGAAATCGCAAATATTATCACTAGATAACGCAGAAATCCCAAAACCGAACACGAAATTACAGTCATCTGCTGTTACTACAAATTTTTAGATCATTTTGAATTGCTACAGATTTTTGGACCAACAAAACACGTT